CAGGAGTAGGCCAATGAACCTCTCGAGTCTGTTCCACCATTCCATTTGAATATGGCTGATCTGCACCTCAACTCTATTTACCCTCTTCTCCATGTCTCTTAATAATAATAATCCTTGCATTTGATATAGCACTTTTCATGTCTTCTAGATGTCTCAAAGCACTTCACATAATATACTGTAAAGTGAATTGACTGTATACTTGTGGGAGAAACACAGCAGCCAATTGTGCACAGCAGTGTCCCACAAGCAGTCGTGGATTGAAGTGACCCATTTATTATTGGGTTTTTTTCTTGAGGGATTATTATCAGGCATATGGAGTAAGGAAACTTGTCCAAGGTTTTGCCCTGCCGGGAATCGAACCCAGGTCTCTCACTTGCGAGGCGAGTGCTCTAACCACTGAGCTACAGGATTCCACAACCCTTACCTAACTAATATCTATGAATCTCAGTCTTGAAAATTCCAATTGATTGAGCATTCAAAGCTTTTTGAAGAGGGAGCTCCAGATTTCCACAACTCTTGGTGTGGAAAAAAAGGCTTCCTAGTTTCACTCCTAATTGGTTTTATTTTAAGATTGCGCCCCCTCATAAGTTTCTCTTTATCTACTCTATCAAGTCCTTTTATCATTTTAAACACCTCGATTAGATTACCCCTCAATCTTCTGAACTCCAGGGAATACAAACCATGTTTATGCAACATATCCTCGTAATTTAACCCTTTCATTCCTGATATAATTCTGGTGAAAATTAGCTTCATTGCCAAAGCAACAGTTTTTTTCTGAAGTTTCTTAATGCTCAAATCGTATGTTAAAAATTATATTTAATATAGACTTTTTCTAAACCAATTTTAGATATTTGAGTGTACTAAAATTACAAAAATTAGCATGAATACATTTTAGAACTTGTTATGTTATTTCATTTATTTCTTTTTTCGAGGAGTGCCATGGGATCTTTAACAACCACCTGGCAGACGGGACCTCAATTTAACATTTCATGCAAAGAATAGAACTTCTAACAATGAAGTGCTATTCCCAACACTGCACTGAAGTGTCAACCTAGCCTGGGAGCCCAAAGAACAAATTTGCAGCTTGAACCCATAACCTTCTGACTTAGATGTGAGATTCTACCAATTGACCCAGGCAGATACCTGGTAAGATAAATAGTTGTAAAAGTACATCATAATAAAGGTACTGATGAAAAAGACCCTTTGGCCCATTTGATTTCACCTTCTAGACCACATACTCATCTGTCTTCCCATCAAAGCATTACGCTGGAATTTTAACTGAGTCCAGCATCCTGGCCTCAACCACCCATTCTGGTATGCTCTTCTAGTCATTAATAACCTTCTGGTTAAATAAATATTTCCTGGTGTCTGTCTTGAAATTGCCCTTTGCAATCCTAAGTGTTGTGACTGTTATGTAAGTAAATGCAACAGTCAATCTGTGTAGATACCAGTGAGAATAATCAATTAATCTGTGTTTGGTGAATTTGAATGATGGAGTAATAAAGCATTAGCCAGGACATTGGGGAAAAAAAATCTTCTTTGAAAAAGTGTCATGCAGCAGTTTGAAGTAGAGGTTTATAAATTTTAGCAAACAGATGGGATAAGAGCATTCTTTCTACGTGTTGTGTTAAAACCACCCTTGAAATACTTTAGTTATTTTCCATCTGAACCACCTCAAGAGGAATAGGACCGCAATTTAATGTTTATCATAAAGAGCAGTACTTGATGCTTGTCTAAATTACGAGCTCAAGTTTTAATGTGGCCAATAACCTACAACCTTTTGATCCAGATGTGAGAGTTCCACTGATTGAGCTGGACTAATGCTATGTAATTAAATCAAACCGGAAACTCTTCAGCAAAACTCTGTGGCCATTTACTGATACAGCACTGCATGCGATTGCAGCAATTAGTTAATGGAGTCCTGTAGCTCAGTGGTTAGAGCACTCACTTTGCAAGCGAGAGACCTGGGTTCGATTCTCGGCAGTGTGAACCTTGGGCAAGTTTCCTTATTCCCCATGCCTGATAATAATCTCTCAAAAAAATAATGAATTGGTCATTTCAATCCACGACTGTATATTTGTGGGGCACTGCTGTGTGCAATTGGTTGCCGCATTTCACCCACAAATATACAGTCAATTCACTTTACATTCTATTCTGTGAGTGCTATGAGACATCTGGAAGACGTGAAAGGCGCTATATCAAATGCAAGGATTATTATTATTTATTATTATTAATTCAGTAACTGAACAGAAATCTAACCCTAACCATCTAAAGTTATGAATAGCCAGATTCTATCTGATGCAGAACCCAACAGTTAATATGAGCTCTGATTATTGGCCAAATGCTGTATATCTTAGAACAATAACTAGGGCAATTGCCTGTGAAATTCCCCATTTTGATATTTATTTCTACAACCAAGGCCAAAAAATATATTTAGTATTTTAACTGTGAGATCAAATGCAAAATTCAGCTGTTGAGACTAAAAGTAAAGTGGAGATACTGTAAATTCATTTTCTATATGGTCCCTTACAGTTATAATCTTCCACACCCTAGAAATCTTCACTTTCCAATTATTTGCGATCTCAAATGGTCAGTGTATGACAGTGGGAAAATAAATCATTAAAGCACAGCCAAATACTCTGGCTGAGGAACAGAAAGGAGAGAACAAGAATAATATGATGTTTCTCAATTTGGCAAAATGTAGTTAGTGATGTGCCTCAGACACTCTGATGGATACTCTCTTCAATACATGGACAGAGTATAGAAAAATTTGGGGATAATAGTAAATTGGAGGACATGGGAAACTGAAGAATATTGAATGCATTTCTGGTCACCATGGGACATAAGGGGGCTGTACAGAGGAAAGAGACAAGGATGATCTCAAGTATTAAAGGAATGAGACATGAACATCTAGACAAGCTAGGGCTCTGCAGTCTTCAGAGAAGACGGCTCAAGGAAGTGTATAACATTTTAAATGGGATTGAAAAGTACAACAACTTGCATTTACATAACGCCCTTCATGCCAGTGCTGAAACCCAGATCAATACTTTAAAATGAATCATGACAGGAGAACAAGAGGACATAGGTTTATAGTTGTAAATGCAATTTTAGGATAGATACCAGGAAGTTTTTCTTTACACAGAAGGTAATCAAAATCTGGAACACGTTGCCAGTAAAGGTGGTAGATTCCAGAGATAGATTGATCAGACTACCCTAACGGGTAGGGTTTTCCTAGTTGGGCAAACAGGAGGAAAGCATGCTAGACAGTGCTATCAATGGCAACTATTAATGCTATCTATGTGTTTTTAGGTGGTTGGACTTCAGGAGTACACCGGTGTACACTTTGGGGTCCCACACTTGGCTCTTGCCGACCCGTGCCAAATACTTTCGGGAATTAGGTAAGCAGGATGTGTCCCTCCAGGGACAGAATGTGTATTCCATTCCAATAAATGTCTCTGGCATTTCCATCTTTAGGTGGGATGCATGGAACTCTGTTTGGTTTGGATACTCTTAAACAAGGTGAAGGGTTTCCCCAAAGTGTCAGACACCCGGCCGATTCCCCCAAAATAATACTTTTTGCTGTCTATAGCAAGTATTATGAGAAATATAATTGACACATTTAGATAATAGATTATATGCTTTTAAGTACAACTTTAATTCAATCGATAAGCAAGATGTTAGTTTTGACAGTCTCATATTTATTCATTTTTATATTTGTTATCTTACATGGAAAAGTAAGAATAGAGTATTTTTACGTTTTGTAAGTTCTGATAATAATAATCCTTGCATTTGATATCACAACAAATTACATTTTATAATGCCTTTCATGTTGGAAGGACATCCCAAGGTGCTGGACAATGAATGTTTCAGACCAGAGCTGGGGGTCAGGATCAGGGAGGGTGGACGGCAGGAGGGCAAGGAGGGTGACCAAAGGAACAGTCGAAGAGGAGGCAAGGGTCTTGAGACAGGTTTTGAAGGAGACAAGGGAGGCGACGAGGGACTGCGGGATGGAGTTCCAGAGGATGGGGGCAGAGTCACAGAAGGCCTATCCAACAATGGTGGGGCGGGTGAGGCGAGGGACATCAAGCAGACCGGAGCCCACTGAGCGGAGGGAGCGGGCAGGTCAGTAGAGGGTTACGAGGTCGCAGAAGTAAGGGGGAGCAAAGCAAGGGAGCAAGGCCACGGAGGGCTTTAAGAAATCTTCAAGAGGTCTCAAAACACTTCACAGAATATACTGTAAAGTGAATTGACTATGTGTCTATATGGGCTAAACACAGCAGTGAATTGTGCACAGCAGTGTCCCACAAATAGTTGTGGATTGAAGTGATCAATTTATTTTTTTAAAGGAATTATTACCACCAGAATAGTGATCTGCCAATCGACTAACAACCGCGTTCCTACTTGCTGCTAGGTAAACAGAGGCATGTGGAGTAAGGAAGATTGCCCAACATTTTGCACTGCCGGGAATTGAACTCAGTCTCTCTCCTCTTGCGTTATATGAATACGATGTACTGTATTATTCACAGTATATCCTGTGAAGTTCTTTGAGATGTCCTCTCAACACGAAAAGTGCTATATCAAATGTAAGGATTATTATTATTAAATAGTTATTTTCATTTGTATCACTATCAAATGGCTCTCATAAAATTCCATGCTTAATTTAATTAATTATAAAAATAAAAATAAAAATTAAAATAATTATGCAGAAAATTTCCAACCATATAAAAGAATACATACTTATTTAATGATTCTCATTTTAAGGATTCAAGGTCTATATTTTCCAGAGCAAAGACATTATACTAGATATTTTCCAGCAAATAGTCACTGGGGAAGGGAATATACATTGAAGAGAGATATAGACTTACTGGAACTTAGAACTCTTTGACACTAGTAGTTATTAAGAAAGAAACAAAGTAATGGTTAATGATACTGGTCAAAATGCATGATGCAGATCAAACTAATTGTAGGCTGTGGGAAAAGAATAATATCTCATGTATTACCTTTTACAGTCCAGTTCCGACATCCTGGTTCTTGGGGGTCACACTTTACTCTGTTAGATTTCAATACAGGAATTGATATTTTATCTGGAATTTCAAAGTGCTTTGGCATGGTTGTTTCCACTTTATAGTCAATGACTTTAGGTCCATTGCAGATTCTTAAGGCGCTGGGTGAAAAAGTCATCTATTCAAAAAAAAATAGATTTGTTATAAATTACCTGTAATGAAGAGTTTTGTACCTACATTCAGAGGTTTACTTTTTCAATTGTTAATGTGTATAAAAATAAATTGCTCATAAGAGTTCCAGACAGCAGGGGCAGGATAGCTGAAAGCCTGTCTGCTGATGATGGGGCGCAAAGGGCAATGGACTTGAAGCAGGTCAGTGTTCATTGAGCGAAGGGAGCACCCGGGTCACGACGGTTGAAAGAGGATGCAGAGGTTTCTCTTTAGGGAAATATGTATAGTATAGCCTCGTAGTACAGGCTGACATTTCATTGCAGTGCTTGGGAGCATTGCCAGAGGTGCCATTCTTCAGATGATACATAAAATCGAGGTTTGATCTTCCTCTTCACATAGACATTAAAGATCCCGTGACACTATTTGAAAAGACAAGGGAATATCTCCCTGTGTCTTGTCCAACAATTCTCCAGATAAATTGGTCATTCACTTCATGGCTGTTTGTAAGGTCTTTTCTGTTTTTCAGAGATACATATCTTCCACCCAATAAAGCAGTTATCCAGAACAACAATGGAAAAATCAAAAGGGTATAATCTTGCAACATGATAACTGGACAGCTGGATGTTTCTCACCTTTCTTGGATTACTCTACAGTTCATTACAGAGTAAGAAGAAACATATTTATATGAGTATGCTTACATTTAATATCCATGAATAAAACAAATCTATAAGATCTCTGTAAGAGGAATTAATGGCGATGTGGCGAATACTTCCATTGGAAAAATTTAGCCCTTTGAAAACATAACTGATGAGTAAAGAAAAATTGTAAAAAAAAAGTAGTGAAAAGAGGAGAGCATGCTCTGTCTGGATGAAATATTTCTCCATCATTAATTTTAAAAGCATAGGGGGAATTATTTATATAGCTTATAAAGGAAAAAAAAATCTCATGGTTGTCATTCATGGAAATGTCAATACCTAAAATGACCATGTCTTGGTGATTCACCTTTCATACGTCGGATTGTCAACCTGTGGAGAGGTAAGCAAGGTCTCTTTGGCTTCAAGGTGATATGTTTGGCATCAGAATCGACCCAACCCTCTGTGGCATTCTTGGTAGTTCAGTTCCTGAGTCAGGCGGGTCCACAGTATTCCAGAGCACTACTGTTGGCAGCACAGCCAGGCTGTCTTATTGGCAGGACTTGGAAGGCATACCAATCACTGATGGCAGGGACTCTTCCGACTCAGCTTCTCTTAACCTTGCAAGCAAAAGCCTAATGGGTAGGATGGTCCTAGCTGGACAAGCAGTGGGAAAGCTTGTCAGACAGCGCTCTCAATGATAAGCTATGCAGTTTTAACTAGTTACACTCAAGCAGCACTCCAACACACACTCTGGGGTCCCCAAGCCTTGGGTCTTGCCACCCTGCACCTATTCTTTCCGGAATTAGGTAAGCAGGATGCGTCCCTCCAGGAAGAGTGTGCACATTCCTTTCCAACAATCTATATTGGAATTTCCATGTGTAGATGGGATGCATGGAAATCTCAGTTTTGTTTGGATACTCTTAAGCATGGTGATGGGTTTCTGCATATGTCAAACATCCAGCTGACCCAAAAGGTTGCGTTCTTCCTTTAATCTGTTGAAGCTATAGTAAAGTAATAGCACTAATAGAACAGGTGTCCAGTCAGATATGTTGTGCCTCTGCATATGGAAAGCACCATTTATTAATAAAGAGATAAGCACACTAAGTCTAAACTGGTCCAAATTTATTGACTTCAGGTTTAAGATTTAATTCAGTTAACAATATACTATTGAGATTTCAAAATAAAGAGGACATGGATTGAGAAAATTGTAATAAACTAGAAATGTTCCTACCTCAGGGCAGGAAAAAACAGTAATTGCAGCCTCAGCTCGGATACTGCTGCTGGCCAATGTGCCAGTGATTGTTCTGCGCTTATATTCTATCTGTGACATCTGCTGCTGCGCTGCAATAGCCAGAGCTTTTTCCTTGGATTTATTGATGAATGGGATTTGCAGCTCTTGTTCAAAGGTGCAACTGTCATTGTATTTGAAGTATAGGACAGTTTGTGTTTCACTGTAGTTATCTGGAACAAATGAAAAACAGTAAAGTTATTAACCAAGCAGAACTAACTGAAGTTTTGTTCATTAATACCTCCGTTATTTCATTGGAATAATGTTTCCAAAGTAAAATATGAGATAACACAAAGAATGAATCCCAACCTTTACTGCTAAAACTGAGCTGCCACCTCTCGCAAGTGATCTTTTATTTAAACTTTTGTTGCATATTTTCAAATAAGTACAATGCACTGCAATATCAGAGGTGCAGTCCTGTAGATAAGACGTTAAACTGAGGTCTCGCCCTCCTGTTTAGCTGGACATTAAAGATCCCACATTTTTTTTGTAAAAAGACCTGGTGCCCTGACAAATAATCTTCCAATTTAATCGCTCATTCACCTCCTGACAGCTTCCTAATTCCTGGTACCTGCAATCCACCTGCGAGGGCTCAAACCCGCGCTTGACAGACATCAAATGTCCAGCTGGTGACTTCCTTCTTGATGGAGGATGAGATAAGTGGGGTCTCCTTAGAGCTGAATTGACCTCAAGGTGACATGTTTTGCAAAAGATTGTCAGCATCCAGCCAACCCTCTGTGGCGGTCTCGGTAGTCCAGTTCATGAGCCAGGCAGGTCTGCAGTATTCCAGGGCAGTATTTCAGGGCACATTGGCAGGACTTGGAAGGGCAGACCAGTCACTGGGGGCAAGGATTCTTTCCACTCAGCAAGCCAAAGTCCTAACTGGTAGATGGTCCTATCTGGATAAGCAGCGTGGAAGCTTCTCAGACAATGCTTTCAATGGCAAGCTATGCGGTTTTACCTGGTTAGATTCCAGCAGTACTCCAACACACACTCTGGGCTCCTCCAAGCCTTGGCTTTTGCCAACCTTGGCTGAATCCTCTCTGGAATTAGGTAAGCGGGATGCATCCCTCCAAGGAGAGAGTGTGCATTCCATTCCAATAAGCCTATGCCAGTGGTAGCACTTCGCCTCTCAGTCATAAGATTGCGCAGTCAAATCCCACATTGGGACTCAAATAGTCTAAGATGATACTCCAATTCAGCACTGGGGGGTGGGGGGGGCGATGTTGCATTGTTGGAAGTGCCATACTTCAGATGAGATGTTAAACAGAGATCCCGTCTGCCAGTTCAGGCGAACATTAAAGATCTCAAAGCATTATTCGAAAACAGTTTGTCCCGACCGAAGGGAGTTTCTACCAGTTTCTCTCTCCTGGCCAACAATCCCCCAAGTAAAATTGGTCACTCGTTTCATGGCTGTGGGACATTGCTATGCGCAATTGTTCTGTCGAGTTTGCCTACAAATGCACATTCACTCCATTTCACCATAATTCCTGTGAAGCGCTTTGAGACGTCCTTCCGACATGATAAGCTGTTATACCAAACGTAAAGATTATTATAATAAATATCTTGGGAATTTCCATGTATAGTGCAGGGATGCATGGGACTCTCAGTTAGGTTTGGATACTCCTAAGTATCTGCAAGAAAATGCTGGACTTCCTCAAGTCCAAAATCGAGTTCCACCCCCTCCCTACCCCCAGCCAACACAATTGCCCATCTGACAATTACCCATCCCTCCTTCCACACCTTTGAACCTGTCAACCCTCCTTCTCTCTTCACCACCGTAACCGCCATGAAACTCACCACCAGCTCCCTGGACCCTATCCTCACCCCTCTCCTTAAATCCCCGCTCCACCTCTTTGCCCCACTACTCTCCAACATCACTAACCCTTCCATGTCATCTGGCACTGTTCCTTCCCCCCTCAAAATAGCCACTATCACCACCACCTTGAAGAAACCTTCCCTTGAACTCCATCCCACAGTCCCTTCGCCTCGCTTCCTTCCTTGCCTCCTTCAAGGCCAGTCTCAAGACCCTTCTCTTCGACCGTGCCTTTGGTCTCCCTCCCACTTCTCTGCCTTCCCTCACCCCTACACCATCCCTCTCCCATGCTTGCGCACCGACACCTGACAGCTCTTTGGGACATCATCCCGATGTGAAAGGCACTCTATAAATGTAATTTTGTTGTTGTAAGTATAGTGATGGGTTTCCATTATGTCAGACGCAAAGCTGACCAAAAATAATTCTGACTGTTTGTGGGAGATTCCCATGTGCAAATTGTCTGCTGCTGTTTTCATCTACAAATGCACAGTCACTACACGTAACAGTAATTAGCTCTTTGAGACAGTTCGATTGATAAGCAACTATTGTTTGCAAAAATGTCATTTCAACAACAACTTGCCCCTCACGTAGAGTAGTGCCAAGCTAGAGGGAGGAGGTGACCATAAGCACTGTCAAAGAGGAAGGTCTTGAGGCGCGACCTGAAGATGGGGAATGAGGGTGCAAGGAAGAGGGATTGCAGTTGAGTGTTCCAGGTTTTCGGGTCGTAGAGGCTGAAAACACTGCAACCGATTGTGGAATGGAAGGCATGAGGGACAAGCAGGAGGCCGGAGACAGTCGAGTGGGAGTGACGGATTGGGGAGTAAGCAGGTCAGAGAGGTAGGGAGGTGCCATGGCATGAAGGGATTTGAAGATGTGTGAGGATCTTGAAATCGATTAGTTCAGTGATAGAGAGCTGCTGGAGCCTGTCTAGAACTGGTGTGATGGGGGTACGGATTTTAGTGCATGCAAGTGTGCGGGCATCAGATTAAGTTCTGGATTAACTGGATTTTGTGGATAGTGGAGCTGTGGAGACCGACGAGAAGGGCATTTGAGTAGTTGAGATAGTTGGTGAAGAATGCATGGACGAGGATTTCGGCTGCATTTGGGGTAAAATACGGTCGGAGGCGGGCAATGTGACATAGGTGGAGAAAAGTAGTCCCGGTCAGAGTCTGGATGTGGGGAAGAAAGGACAGCTGTGGGTCGAACCTGACGCCTAGGTTGCACACCGGTTTGGTGAGTCTGAGGGATAGGCTGGGGAGGTTGAGAAGGTCAGACACAGCCGAGAAGACATCGATGGGAGCCAATGATTATAGCTTTCATCTTGTCAATATTTAGCTGCAGGAAGCTTGTGCTCATCCAGGCCATCGTGTCTGCAGGACAAACTGACAGAGCCACAGCTGGAAGAGTGGATATGGGTGTCATCTGTACACATGTGGAAGGTTCATACATTTCAAGGTTCAAGTCATGTAATACTACAGTTAACTAACTGAATATATTCAAACATGGAGAGAAATTTATTGATTAAATCCACAAATGCTAGAATGCAAAGCCTTTATACCTGCTGCAGCACAGTTGTTCAGTGTTTCACAGGGACCAGACATTGGGAGTAGAGCTGATGGCAGTGGTAAACAGCAAGTGCCTTCCAGAGCATACATAAATTCTCCAATCTACCAAAATAAATAAATAATAAATTTACTAAGAGCAAAACATTTTTAAAATAAAATGAAGAGAAAACTATAAAGATGAAGCAGGTCTTTGTTCAGTAACACAGTAGGATATTTAAATGATTTGTTGTAACCTATCGTTTCAGCCAGCACCAGTTTCTATAAGTATCATTTAGTCTATTTTTGTACAGCTTTCCTACCTATTGGTTGGTGTTTTTTGACCAATTGTTCTCTGCAGCACAGAGGAAGCACATTATTTTTTAAGCTGAACTATAGAATACTTTAGGAAAAAAATCTGGATTTTCGATGATTTTGGGACCATCTGGTATATATAGAGTTGTTTTTCCATTGACTGCTCATATGTGAATGTATTCAAGGGTCCCTGGGTACTGTAGTTCTGTATGGTTTCTTCCAGATGTTAAAAGATACTAGGAAATTTATAATGGTTTAATAAAATCTTAAAGAATATATTTTTTTACACATTTTCATATGAGTATCCAAATCAGACTGAGACCCAGGCATGCCACCTACACATGAAAAGTTTCAATGTGCCAAATGGGAAGAATCCCTGCACCTAGTGTAAAATTGGTTACTGAATTAATGAAACCATGGAAGTTAATTTATCTGGTTGTCAGACCTTTAGTGTATTGTGATAATTAATCCTGTGATGTGGGTCAGTGTTAGTATGTTAGTTTTAGTGTTACTGCATGAATTTTTATGGGACATTGTAAAAGTTGGGTCAGTATTAGTTAAAGGACCTAGGGCTCAATTGTGCTTGAACAATCAAAATGTGTGCCCACAGTACAACAACAACTTGCATTTATATTGCGCCTTCCACGCCGGCAGTGTCCCAGCGCGCTTAACAATAGTGAATAATAATAATAATCCTTGCATTTGATATAACGCTTTTCACGTCGGAAGGACGTCCCAAAGCACTTCACAGAACACACTGTAAACTGAATTGACTATATATTTGTGGGCGAACGCGGCAGCCAATTGCGCACAGCAATGTCCCACAAACAGTCGTAGATTGAAAATGACCAATTTATTATTGTTTTTGGTTTTGGAGGGATTATTATTAGGCGTGTGGAGTAAGGAAACTTGCCCAAGGTTTCGCCCTGCCTGGAATTGAACTCAGGTCTCTCGCTTGCAAAGCAAGTGCTCTAACCACTGAGCTACAGGACTCCACATGCTGAGCTAGGGGGAGGGTGGAGGTGAGCGTAAGTACGAAGAGAAAGGTCTTCAGGCACAACCTGAAAATGGGGAAAGAGGTGGCAAGGCTAAGGGATTGAGGGAAGGAGTTCCATAGTTTCGGGACGTAGTGGCTGAAGGCACAGCCACCAAATGGTGGAGCAGAGGATTCGAGGATTTGCTGGAGCCAGTAAAGTGGAGGCAGCGGGTAGTGCTGTGAGGAGAGAGGATGATGGAGAGATAGGCGGGGTGGAAGGATTTAAACACGAGAGTGTAGTTCTTGAAGTCAATCCGCTCTGTGACAGGGAGCCTGTGGAGTTTGGCAAGAACTGAAGTAATCAGGGTGCGGAGTTTAGTGCGGGTGAGAATGTGGGGGGCGGAGTTTTGGATGAGTTGAATTTTGTGAATAGTGGAGGAGGAGAGACCGGCGAGGAGGGCGTTAGAGTTGTCCAGCCGAGAGGTGACGAAGGTGTGGACAAGGATTTCGGCAGCTCATGGAGTGAGGTATTGTCGGTGACAGGCAATGTGGTGGAGGACGAAAACGATCCTGATGTGGGGGAGGAAGGATAACTGGGGATCGAACCTGACGCTTAAGTTGCGCATGGGTTCAGAGTATTAAAGACAGATCAGGTAGGTTGAGGAGGTCAGAACCACAGGACAAAAGACTTTGACGGGAGCCAAAGAGTATGGCTTCCATCTTACTGATGTCTAACTGCAAGAAATTTCTGCTCATCCAGGCCTTGATGTCTATCAGACAAGCTGACAGAACATCAGGTTACGGGGGGGTCGCAGCTGGAGGAGGAAAAGTTGAGTGTCATCCGCATCCATGTGGAAGCTAACCTCATGTTGGGGATAACATCACGAGAGGGAGCATACAGATGAGGAAGAGAAGGGGGCCAAGGATGGAGCCTTGGTGTACCCCGCAGGTGACCGGGAGCAGGCGAGAAGAAAAGCTATTTGAGGAAATGTAGTGAGGAAGGACTCGAACCAAGCGAGTGCTGTCCCACTGAGGTGGATGATGGAGGAGAGGCAGTGGAGGATGGCGTGATCAACTGTGTCGAACGTGGCAGAGAGGAGGTAGAGGGAGCCCTGGTCACAGATAGAAAGGACGTTGTTTGTGATTTTCACGAGCACTGTCTGTACTGTGAGCAGGGCGGAAACCGGACTGGAGGGATTCGAGTAGGGAGTGGAGGGAGAGGTGTGTGCGAAGTTGGTTGGCAACAACACATTCCAAAGCTTTGGCCAGGAAGGGCAATTTTGAGATAAGCCTGTAGTGCCCGAGATTAGAGGAGACACAGGGCAAGAGGATGAGGCTGCCTGGCAGAATTTTTTTTTAGAGGTAAGGAAGTACATCACCTCTTCACACATGGTATTTGATGTAATGATTGAGGGTGCTTGAGGGGGCGCACAGAGGAGGTGGTGGGTGGTGGAGAATAGGATCTTGGAGTTATTTTTGGCCACCAGAATGATCTTTGAGTAATATGCAGTTTTTGCTTGTGAGAGGGACCAGTGGTAGGTGTGAAGGTGTTTGAGCCACAGCTGCACATGAGCAACCGGGTTTGTGATTTTAGGGAGCGGAGGTCTGTTGTATCAGGGGGAGCGGGTGGGTTAGGAGATGGTTCTGGATTTCAGGCGGACAAGGGAGTTGAAGGTGGAGGAGAGACGATCGTGGAGCTGCTTGACGGCTGCATCAGGGTACCTACTGTTGGAAGGCCAGAGGGAGAGGAGGTCTGAGGATGGGAGGGCATTGTGAGGGTCTCGGGGGGAAACCTTTTCCATGGGCGGAAAAAGATGGCGGAGAGCTTGATGGAGGGGAGAGGGATGTGAGAGCAGAGCGAGGCATGAAAATGATCTGAGATGGCCTTGTGCGTGATGGACAGACCGGAGATATCTAAGCCGTGGGTGATAACGAGGTCTAGGGGGTGGCCATAGTTGTTGGTCAGGGATTTTATATGAAGGATGAGATTTAGGGTGGAGAGTATTGTGGTGAAGTCAGAGGAAGTGGGGCAGGAGGAGTTAAGGTGGAGTTTGAAGTTGTCCATGATGAGCAGGGGTTCAGTGCAGAGGAACAGGGATGAGAGGAGAGAGATGTCTGTAAGGAAGGAGCCAGGCAGTTTGGGGGTTGGTACAAAAGGAGGATTTTGAAGGAGAGAGAGGAGGAATGGGAGAGGGTGAGGTGCTCGAAAGAGACAAAACAGCCAGAGGAATAGGGGATAAGGGAGGTTTGGGGGATGAAGGCCACCCCATCGCCGTGACGGTTCGGGTGGGGGGTGTGGTGGAATGTATAGCCATGGGGGGAGGCTTTAATAAGGGTGACGGGGTCGCAGGGGGAAGATTGGTTTCTGTAGGCCCTAGGATGCTCATCCAGGATGAGCATATTGTAACAGTCTATGTAAATATCAGAGGGACCATTTTCTGGAAGATATTTCGGAAGAACATGGAATCTGCAATATAGCCAAAACAGACAATGAAAAGCAAGATTCAGGAGTATTACCAATAAGAAATTTAGGAATCAATAAAGAGTTGAAGACAGAACAACTGAGATTTAATACAGTCCTCTGCTTAATATCTCAGCGGCTGTGTTATTTTCCATAACTAATTTTTTACCTTAAAAAAATGTAATGCAAATTTTGATCTAAGTTAACCTTTAACATAACAACTAACGCTTAAAACAAATTGTGATCATGACATTACCTGAGCATTGGCAAAAAAAATGGTATAATTGCTTTTGCCCATGTGAAAAGGAAGGTAAAGAACTTTCAGAACAGCTGAACTGTTGGCCTTCAGATGTAAGGACTTTACTTGGATGAAGAATTCAGGTATTGTAGCTCGAAAAGCTGCAAGGAAAATTAATAAAAAATAATTTTATGAACAAAATAGGGTGCAAAGTCTAAAAGTGGCAACTTTTTCTGCTCTATCATTGATATTTGCAGAAACAAAACTTGTTGCTGAGCAACATTTAACCAATGTACTCTATAATTTTTCAACAGTAAAGCCAACTTAGAATATTATTAAACCCAATCTTTACAAATTAATGTATACATTACAAATAAGATAATAGTAATCCACCTTTGAGAACCTTGGATTAAAACTTGTAACCTGTGATATATTAATTAAAACTAATATTACTTATTAACATTGAGAGGAGGCATTCAGTGCATTAAGCCAGTTCCACCAGTTTATTACTTCATGGCACCTTTTAATCCCATTTCCCCATATTTTCTGTATATACCTTCATACCATTACTTTCCAAGTATCTATCTATACAAGTACAACTGGGTCCCAACTAATTAGCATAGTGTTGAGGAAATAGAATATTGCCATAGCATTAAACAAGACTCAATTAAAAAATGTAAAATTGTTTTTGAACACATTAATTTAATTAATATACTGCTTTAGTCAATAAATGCTTCCATCTATGTAACAACAACAAATTGCATTTATATAGCACCTTTCACATCAGAAGGACATCCTAAGGCATTGGATAGTCGAGGCTTTTCATCCAAGCTGGGGATTGGAATCAAGAGAGGTGGAGGGCAAAGGGGTTGGGAAAATGACCAAAGGCATAGTCTTGAGACGGGCCTTGAAGGAAGCAAGGGAGCGGGGCGAGGAGAAGGAACTTCGGGATGGGCAGACCGCCGATGGTAGAGCAGGCAGGGCAGGGGACATGAGCAACCCAGGGTCCATCTAGCAGAGGCAGGTTGGTAAGGTGTTAGTAAGTCACAGAGGTAGGGTGGGGCAAACCGTGAGAGTGATCGTCTCACGGAGCTTGGTGCAGGAGAGGGCACGAGCTACAGAATTCTGAAATCTACAGCTTATGGAGGGAAGAATTGGGAAGTCCAGCACGCAGAGAGTTAGCAGTGTCCATGATAGCGGAGGTGGACAATGTTGCGGAGATGGGGGAAAGTTGAATGGATCAAGGCATGGGTGTGGGGTTTAAAGAACAGTTGAAGGTCAAACGAGGTATCATAGCGAGGTGAGGTGGAGTGTGCATCCATGAATATTGATGTTATCAGCGACTCAAGTGAGGAAGGGCCAGCAGAAGCCAAGCAGGAGGGCTTCTGTCTTGTTGACATTCAACTGGAGAAAGTTGGCTCTCATCTAAGGCAGGATATCGGACAGGCAATCCGCAGAGAGATAGAATTGGTATCATCCGCATATATGTGGAAGTTAACCCCATGCCTGGGGGGTGATATCACCGAGTGGAAGCACGTAAATATTGAAGAGGAGAGGATGACGCTAAAGGTAGCTCTAGCTTACATTTTGCCTCACATTTAAACTCTTTTGGTAGAGGTATTATAAACAAATGTATATTGTCAAACAGAGACATATGACAGAATACTTGCAGTTTTTCAGTTTTGGTGTTTGAACATCAACTCCATCTTGATTGACATCATCATTTTTGCCTTCAAATGGATCTGGTTCTGATCTTAAGGTACCAGAAAAACAAGAACATTTTTAAGCAAGAAAGACCTATTGGTACCAAAAAAATATTCAAAGTAGTCATGATTGCTTCATGTCTTAACTGCAAAGATAATAAAACAAAACTCAATACAGCCCAGCTCACAAACACAAGGTAATTCCATACATTATACTTTTCCTTCTCAGGGGGGATTAAGTGAATTCTCCGTGGGACTGAGGAGGCTCCAAGGGACGTGCTTAGGAACTGAATCTTTGAATCAACCTTCTGTAGCAGTCTTGGTTGTCTGGATCCTGAGTCAGGTGGTCCGCAGTACTGCACGCACTGCTGATGACAGACTAGCCAGCCTGACTCATAGACAGAACCTGGAGGGGAGGGGGGGACAGGAACACTGGGAGCAAAGATTCTTCCCACTCAGCTCCTGTTAACCCTGCAAGTCAAAGCCCTAACAGGCAGTCTGGTCTGAGCTGGACATATAGCAGTACCCCAAATGCACGCTCTTGGTTGCCCAAGCCTTGGTTATCGCCATCCTGTGTCAAATACTTTCTGGTATGTAGGTGACATACATATGTGGAATTTTCAGTCTGGTTTGGATACTCAAGCAGTATACAGCAAAATACTGCAGATGCTGTAAATCTGATATAAAAACAGAAGTCGCTGGGAACACTCAGTTGTTCAGGCAGCATCTATGGAGAGGAAAGTGAGTTAACTTTTCAGGTCAATGACCTTTCATCAGAACTGGGGGATGTTGGAAGGGACTAGTCTATAAGGATAAGCAGAGAAGGTGGGCTGGGAAAGAAAAAGGTAAAACAGGAAGTCTTTATTGGAGCCAACGTGGGATCCGTGGCTCCGGCTGGCCCAGGCGCCAACTCAGTAATTTCAGAATCAACAAATCACCAGTTGCTGCCGCACGACGTCACTTCCTCCCGCCACATTCAAAACTCTTGTGCCTAGAGTCACGATGTCTATCGTACTCTCCTTCGCAGACATGGGGTCAACTTCCACATGTATGTGGATGATACCCAACTCTACCTCTCTGCCTCCACTCTTGACTCCAGATCACTGCAGTACTGACAGAATGTTTGTCAGACATCAAGTCCTGGATGAGAGCTAACTTTCTTCAGTTGAACGTCAACAAGACCGAGGCTCTCCTGATTGGCTCCTGTCAGCGCCTCCTCACCTCAGGTGCTGACAGCCTCACCATCCATGGTTGCACAATCCACCTTGCTAAGCCAGTCTGGAACCTTGGGGTCTTGTTCGACCCTCAACTATCCTTTCTACTCCACATTCGGGCCATGACCCACTCTGCCTCCCCCCACCTCCACAGCGTCACCCGACTCCGACACTGTCTCACACCGCAGGCCGCTGGAACCTCATACACGCCTTCATTACATCGAGGCTTGACATTGGAAACTCATTGCTGGTCAGCCTCCCCAACTTCTCCCTCCACTGGCTGCAGATCATCCAGAACTCTGCAGCTCGTGTCCTCTCCCGCACTAGGCTACGTGCCCCTATCACCCCCATCCTCGCCCAACTCCACTGGCTTCCCATCACACAGAGGATACAGTTAAAGATCTTCCCTTTCACTCTGCTCCCTCTCCCCACCGCCACCCAACAACAACAACAAGATTACATTTGTACAGCATCTTTCATGTTGGGAGGATGTTCCAAGGTGCTGGACAGAATAGAGTATTTCAGACCCGAGCTGGGGTCAGAGGGGGAGAAGGGAAGGGAGGGGAAGGGGGGTGGCCGATGGTAATGGTCGAAGAGGAGGGTCTTGAGGCGGGACTTGAAGGAGGTGAGAGATGGAGTGATTGGGGGATGGAATTCCAGAGGTTGGGGGCAGAGTGGCTGAAGGCTCTCCCGCCAATGGTAGGGCAGGTTGGGTCGGGGGACGTGGAGCAGGCTGGAACCGGCTGAGCGGAGGGAGCGGGCGGGTTGGTAGAGGGTTAGGAGATCGCAGAGGTAGGGTGGGGGGGTGAGGCCATGGAGGGCTTTGTAGATGAGGACCAGGATCTTGAACTGGATCCTCTGAAGGATAGGGAGCCAATGGAGTCAGGCAAGAGTGAGGGTGATGGGGTCACAGAGTTTGGTGTGGGAGAGGACACAGGCTGCAGAGTTCTGGATTATCTGCAGCCTGCGGAGGGAGGGAAGGCTGACAAGCAGGGCGTTTGCATAGCCGAGCCTGGAGGTGATGAAGGCATGAACAAGAGTTTCAGTAGCCTGAGGGGTGAGGTAGTGGCGGAGTCGGGCGATGTTATGGCGGTGAGGGAAGGCAGAGTGGATCATGGCTTGGATGTGAGGAAGAAAAGACAGTTGAGGATCGAACAAGACACCTAGGTTCCTGACTGGCTTGGTGAGCTGTAGTGTGCAACTATGGAGGTTGATGCTGCTCGAGGCTGAGGTGCTGGCGTGAGTCAATCAGGAGGGCCTCAGTCTTGTTCACGTTCAACTGTAGGAAATTTGTCTTCATCCAGGACTTGATGTCCGACAGACAGTCTGTCAGGACAGCAGTGGTCCTGGATTTGAGGGTGAAGGCAGAAAGATAGAGTTGGGTGTCATCCGCATACATGTGGAAGTTGACCCCATGTCTGCGGATGATGTCACCAAGGGGAAGCATGTAGATATTAAAGAGGAGAGGGCCAAGGACAGAGCCCTGGGGGACGCCAAACGTGACAGTACGGGGGCTGGAGGAGAAACCATTAGAGGCAACAAAGTGGAGACGGTGAGAGATAGGAATCGAACCAGGCAAGGGCAGGTCCGTGAAGATTAAGTAAAGAGGAGAGGCGGTGTATGAGGATAGAGTTGTCGACAGTGTCGAAGGGCGGCAGAGAGTCAAGGAGGACAAGGAGGCAGAGGGAGCCCTGATCGCAGATGTTCAGAGTGTCATTAGTGACTTTGACCAGGGCTGTTTCCGTGCTGTGGGCAGCGCGGACGCCGGATTTGAGGGGTTCAAAGAGGGAATGGCGAGAGAGAAAGGAGCGGAGCTGGGACGCGACAACTTGTTCCAGGATCTTGGAGAGGAATGGGAGGTTAGAGATGTGGCGGTAGCTGGAAAGAAGGGATGGGTCCAGGGAAGATTTTTTCAAGATGGGGGTGATGACGGCTGTGTATTTGACAGGAATAATGTATTAGTTTTCCTCAGATAAAAGATTATGCATGTGCACATTGACAATGGATAATCTATAAAAAATTCAAATAATGTATTCAATTAATTACACTTTTAAATATTTCAGTTCACGAGTACTAACTCTGCTTAACATTTTGTAAACCATATGGCACATGCTAATTAAAATGTGAAAACGTAAAAATATTATTAACTGATTTTATCTTTTTTTAAATTACACATTGATGACATCTACAAAGTCCTAGATATATTTTGGGGAAGTTTTCTCAACAATTCATGTCAAGTAATTGTAACTTTCCATGGGAGAAAAAAAAGATAAAGATACTGCATAACATTTGGTTCCAGTAAATGAATATCAATTGAAATGTCAAATTGGACATTCAGCTCATGACTTGAATGGAGAATAAAGAATTCTATAAAAAAGATAAAGTGAGACATAGTAATTTGTGGTGGAATGGGTACACAAACCAATAATTAATGCTTCATTGTTGACATTTCTGGATAAGCATGCAGGACCAAAAGGATGCACTATCATTTCAGATTCTCTTGCTGGAGAAATTGCTGCTATATTACAAGATGTAGCCTACACTCTATAGAAAATCTTGTGTTGCACTTTGAGACACTGTCCTGAGATGATAAGGATATATCTATTACACTCTAAGTATATCTATCTAGTGTCTTTTTCTGATGGCTTTTTGCAAATTCCTGCAGTCGGCTGGCAAATTTCCTGCAAAATGCCTCCAATAGCCTATCTATCCGTCTACTTACTGATGATGAATAGCAGGCAACCTTATTGAAATGACCCAGGGGCATAGAAATCCGTCACTACTGAAATGCTCAATGCCAACAGCATTGTCAGATGATTCCAGTGACATATCTTGTGCAATTAAATCACATATCTCAGATACAGCATCTGGAGGCAGAACTTAAAAAAAAACTGGAGGCAGAATTGCAAAGCACACTGAACAAATGCCAGCTTTATAACGCCTCTGTTTACCTAGCAGTAAGTAGGAACCCGCTTGTTAGTCGATTGGCATACCAATTGCCGAAGGGTAATAATCCCTCCAAAAAAAATAATAATGTGGTACTCAATCCACGACTGTTTGTGGAACGTCACTGTGCACAATTGGCTGCCACATTTCGCTCACGAAAGACACAGTTACTACACTTTTACAGTATCCTGTGAAGCGCTTTGAGACATCCTGAAGATGTGATAAGGGGCTATATCAAATGCAAGGATAATTAATAGTTAGTTTATGTATCTGAGATGTGATTTACAAAAGTTTATAAATATGTGTACTACTCATTTTCACCCATATTTAATATATACCACCAGAGTATTTTATATTTGGGCTGTCATCCACGCAAAACTGGACCTCTCTACTTTCAAGTAGTACAGCTACCAGATTCTTGTGATACTATGCAAAGGCAATGGCAGACAGACTGATATCCCATACATCTGCAACATTTCCAATACTACACGATTTACACCCTTGAAATTAGCAGCATCTATTGGTCCAGCATGCAAGTTGGATGAGGCCTGAAAGATGTTTGGCATGAATGCACACTCTGGAATCCAATTGTGGCATTTAAGATCAGCACCACAGGAATGCCACTGTGCCATCAATCTCTTTCAGGTTAAAATGTCTTCTAAATAAAATCAGTGGTATAGTACAACCAAGTACCGATTATGTTTCATCACGTGCCTGAAAATAAATAGGAGTCAAAATTGTGCTATCTTAAAAACATTCCATTGCTTAATTTATCACCATGAATAATTGAGGAAGGCTTTATTGACTGGAAAGTGTAAATAAAAAAAGCCAAATTGACCATGGGAGAAGCTTTTCTCTCAAATTCAGTGTTTATTCCCAAACAAATCACAAAAGGCAGGTTTAAAAGGACATGATTTAAATACAATTTCTGAGTTTTTGTATCATTTATTAAATACCATCTAGCAATAATGAACAGAATTTAGAATTTCTGCAACTTTGACTCCATAACCTTTTCATTTTACTAATAAAAATCTCATTAGAAAAACTACTTTCATTATACTTACAGGTACTTCTATTATGTAAAACAGTAGGCAAACTTAGGGGTGGACATGCCATTCAAAATACACAAATAGAAATTCATTATTTACTTACTCCCAGAACACCGTGCCTTTTTTTGAATTCAAGTTGTGATTCAGGTGGATGACATTGTTACTTATTTATGTTAGATGTGGATTAATACAGATTTTTAATTTTAAACCTCCATTGGGTGTATTAAATTGACAGTCGCAAAATGGAAGTGTCCTCATGACTTTTTCTCTTGAATTCCGTGGGCAATATTATTATCATTCATTATCATTGATTAATTATTATTAATAATTATTATATTTATAATAACATGTTATTAATATTATTGTGGAAGATGATTTTATCTAAATTAAAACAAGGTAATAAGAGACAGTTTTAGTTAATAGCATTGCTTATATGTGTATTTCGTATATAAAAAAAAGAACTTTTGTTCAGCCAAAAGTAATACGACATAGATTCAGATGCTGTTAAATGTCGTGATCAGAGTATTGGGCTGGAACCAAATTTGGTTTGCGGTTATTTAAAAGTTAATCTATTTCATGGAATCCATGAGATCATTTTGTGAAAGAATGAACCGGTCTGTATGCAATACTTGATTCAACGTCTCATTATCCAGACTTCAACAAGAAGGGAGGGTTGACATTGCAACTACCCAACTGACAAATGCATCATTAATCAGGCAGAAAAGCTGTCAAGAAAATGTTCGTTTTCATATTAAACAACCTCCAAGCTACTATAAGTGTTGGTATGAAATGCAATAAGATGATATTGTATCTTTTTCCCACTCATTGAGAAAATATAAGTGCTATGTAAGCACTCAATTCATAGTGTATAGGATTTGTATTTACCTTCCTGTTTAGTCAAATCAATATTCTTTCCAGTGCCTCAGTAACCAAATCAAATCTAAACTTCAATTTGAAAACAAGGGCATGAATTTAAGATTATAGCTAGGATTATGAAACAGCAAGTTAGGAGGAATTTGGAACAATTTGTCGAGATGCCTGTTCGAAGAGAATCAATTAGGGCATTTAAAAGGGAATTAGATTTGCACATGCAGAAGAAAGGTATCTGAGGGTATATGGAAGCAACATGGAATTGGCAGGGATTAAATTGCTTCATTGGAGGAACACCAACACAACTGCAATGCTGTGTTGTCCATTTGTTTGGAATAGAATTAAATTCAATATGAAAATCTAAATCACAGTTCCTGTAGTGATTGCTGTCTGTAGATGCCAAATCTGAGCTTTTGAATAATTTCATCTGGATTTGAACTTACCCATGCACATTTTGCCCTGTGATGCATTTTAAACGATTTGCTTTACAAAGCTTTTTGTTCACCTCCATTAAAATGACCCTAGAAAACATAGAAAACTTGTAACTAATAATTTGTATCTACTTGTGTGCTATTTCAAACCTTTTACAGCAAAATCTGAAATTATTATTGAAAAAACATTAGTTCTGTTACAAACAAAATAATATTTATAAAACCATTATTGTTCATTATTACCAAGATGAAATACATTTTGTCAATGACAAAAGATAACAAGCTGGGTCAATAACCTGTAATTCCAGTTTATCTTATACTTAAACTAAAATGATTTAATTTAAGAACTCTTAATTGATCATTTACAATTATAACACGTTCCACTGCTGCAGCAAAATTCTAAATTACTTCACCAATGTGTGAAACATGACCTATTGTTTCTGAATCCATGGCAAGTACTTCTCAAAGCTATGCACTTTAGATTAGCACTGTTAGCAATTTGTACAATAGTTCAAACTACAATTGTCCCCTTACCAATTGATGCAGAATTTTCAAATTAATATCTCACTTTTTTTTGAATACCAGCTTAACATTTGCAATCCTCTATCCTAGGGTGCATTTCTTGTATTGATGGAGCTTGTAATGAGATGAGAGCTAACTTACTGCAGTTGAATGTCAACAAGATCGAGGCCCTCCTGCTTGCTCTTGTCAGCGCCTCCATACCTCGTGCACTGACAGCACTCCATATCTCACGGAGCCAATACGGAGCCTCAGCGTCCTGTTCGACCCTCAAATGTCCTTCATGCCTTACATCCGTGCCATGACCCGCTCCACCTTTCCCCATCTTTGCAACATTGCCTGGTTATGCCACTATCGCACACTGCAGGCCGCCGAGACCCTCATACACGCATTCAACCATTGGCGGGCGTGCCTTCAGACATTCTGCCCTCACACTCTGGAACTCCATCCCACAGTCCCTCCGCCTCGCCCCCTCCCTTGCCTACTTCAAGACCCATCTCAAGACTCTCCTCTTTAGTTATGCCTTCAATCACCCTCCATGCTCTCCACCCAACCTGATCCCGACCCTCAGCTCGGGTCTGAAACACAGATTGTCCATCGCCTTGGGATGTCCTCCCAACATGAAAGGTGCTATACAAACGTAATTTTGTTTGTTGTTGTTGTAAAATATTAACTAGTCCCACCTGTTTCCTGGCATTTTTTCTTGAGGATCCTATTCTGTACCCTGTTAGTTACAGTTAATATTTTGAGTTTCTTCATATCACATGCTTTACTAGTTTCCATTTAAAATCCTGAGGCAAAAACAACTAGATCTGGAATTTGACTATTATTCACTGGTGAAGCCTAGTGTGAACATCTATTTAACACATATTTCCAACTGATCTTCTTTAATAGCTATTCCTAATTTACTCCTTACAAGGATCCACCTGGTTTTTAAAAACATGCTGATTTAACTAAAACAAAAAATTCAGTTTACCAACTGCAATCTGCTTTTCCATTGGCTGCTGACATCCTCCAAAATGATTTTTTGGTAACCCCACTTGCATTTTATATGACTTACACTACATTTATTTCCTTGTATCTTTTAAAATATTCAAACTTTAGGTTAATTTTGAATTTTGTATTCAAGTTAATGATCAATTCTTCTTGACTGCTAAAATTAAGAGCAGAATTTCTCCCACCATCCTTACTCTAAGTATGTGTGGGGTATTATCCCCAGAATTGTAATACATCTACTAACACCCTGCTGAGCATGTTGTCTAAAGAAGCAGTGGTTTACTTGAATACTCAAATCCCTTCCCTTTTGATTCTTCTGAATTAACTATTTTAATTTTGAGAAGTTAAAAACCTCATAATTATGACTTATTATTTTCTGTATTCTCTGCCTAACCAGCTATTTTTCTACTTATTTGAGTTGAGTTGGAGGAAGGTGGTCAATAACAATTACCAATAACTGTTACTCTTATTACATATTGCTTCAGTTACCTTGCCCTCTGCTGTTATATTCCTTCATTGCAACATGTTATATCCTCCCATTATTGTCATTCCTCCATCCAGCTTTACTTAGGAAAAATACCCACTCAGCTATGCTTCTATGATGCCACAATTTTTACTTCCTGTATTTTAGCTCAAATACCTCTTTTATACAACATAAGAACATGTCACAAGATCACAAGTTTGAATGAAGAAGACCTTTCAGTCTATTTGATATAATCCTTTCAGTATACCATTCTTCCATCACAGAGTCGAGCTGTTTTTTTTAAATGTCCAGCCTCCTGGGCTCAATCACCCTTCTGGGTAAACTTCCAGTCATTAATTACCCTCTAGGTAATAAAACATTGATGCCTCGATAGTATTGATCCAAGTTTAATTCTTCAAACCCATTTCAAATCTCCTATACCACTATAAGGTCCCCTCTGAGATGTCTCTTTTCAAGACTGAAGAGTTGTACAATTGCTGTTCATTCTGTTAACACTGGGGACCATCCTCATTGTTCTCCACTAGGTCTCTAGGGCTTGGAAAGACTCTTATGTTGCCGGGACAGAACTGTACTCGGGTCTCAAGTGCATGACATCTGACCAGTGCATTGTACAGCTTAAGTATGACCTCCGGTAATCACATTATTTAGAGATGGTAAGCAATGAATCGATTCGTATCCCTAGATCTCTTTCAGCCTCCTTCCTCGCAACTTCTATCCTATCCATGGAGTACAGATGTCTCTTATTCTTATTTTCTGAATGCAGTACTCCGCAGTTATTATGCCTTGGCTCTTGCCAACCTGCAACTAATATTTTCCAGAATTAGGTAAGCAGGATGCATCCCTCCAGGGAGAGAGTGCATATTCCATTCCAACAATTTATCTCTGGAATTTCCATTCGTAGGTGGGATGCATGGTTATACTCTGCCAGTCAAAGAAACACCTACTGATTCCCATTCAATATACTGAATATGCATAACAACTTGTTTCTAATTTACAGAATGTACAGAATTCAATATTTTAGAAAGTCAATAATCATACCTTTCGCATTAAGATATACATTTTGTTTTTCATATTAAGGAATAGCACAAACTAGACCCTGACATTTATATTGATTTATATAAATGCAACATTGACTTCAACTTGAAATATACAGTATTTAAGACATGCTTAAGTTTTCATAGAATGTATGGCCATATGATATTTAACAAAATGAAGATACGCTACCATGTTGTAAAGAAGAATATGGCTTCTTTCTAAAAATAATAAAATCAAAATTTTCTGTCAGTTTTTTACTTTAATTATATGTGAGCCCTGTAGTTTAAACATACCTGAAATCTCCACTTGCCTTAAAAGGATTTGTAATCTCGAGGTAAACTTTTTTCGGCTCATAGCATGGAGATTCACATTTGATAGTATCCTAAAATGAGAGATAATTCTAACTACAAATTGCCAGAAAAATAAGAAGGAAAGTATCAACAATATAACACTAATTACATAGTCAAGAGGCACTGGCAAATACCTGCAACCCACTTCAGAATCAACAATATTATATTAATTATATTGCCTAAATAAACATTCACCTGATAATGTCAAAGTCTCAAAGTATCAAATGTTTTTTTTCCATTTCTAGAGTTTCTTAACCAATTTCAACATTGTGTGCTCTTCTACATTTCTATGAATGTCATTCTTGATAAACAATGAACACATTTTTCAATCATTGGGATTTTATTTGCACTGAGGTAATAGGTTATTCTAATGTACATATTCTGAAAACAATTATTTACATATGAACTACTGCTTATATCGTGTTAAAATAAGGTATCATGGTTTGGAATGAAAGTTTTTTTTAACATGAGAATTTAATGCATACAGAGCTGATCTCAATTGAATGGAGTGCATTTCAATCCTTCACTGCCTTTAGACTCCGGAGGACTCATGGCAACTTGATATCATCAGGTGAAGTATCAGATTGATATCAGATATTTACATATAAGATTGTGGGTTCAAGTTTACATCAGGGTTTTGAGCTTACACAGTCTAGGCTGATACTCCAAATGCAGTGCTGCGGGAGTGCTGCAATATCAGAGGTGCTATCCTTGAATAACAAAAAAACAATAAGACAATAAAACAAGATCCCAATCTCCCTGTTCAAATGGAGAGTGCTAGTGGCACTATTAGAAAAGACAAGAGAGTTTCTCCTGGCACCCTAGTCAACAATCCCACAGATAAATTAGTAATTCACCTACCCACAACCGTGGTCATGCCCTTGACCTCGTTATCACCCACGGCCTTGACATTTCTGACCTCAGCATTGTGGACAAGGCCATCTCGAACCACTTCCTCATCTCCTTCTCCTCTCACATCCCTCTCTCCTCCACCAAGCCCTCAACCATCCTCTACCGCCCTTGGAAAAGGCTACCCCCTGAGACCCTCACAAAGGCCCTCAATTCATCAAATATCCTATTGCTCCGGCCTTCCACCCGCGGAGATCCTGAAGCCGCCGTCCAGCTGCTCTATGGTCGCCTCTCCTCCACCTTCAACTCCCTCGTCCCCCTGAAATCCAGGACCATCTCTAATCCTACCCGATCCCCCTGGTACAACAACCATCTCCGCTCCCTAAAAACCCAAATTCGGCTGCTCGAGCGCAGATGGCAGAAAACTGGCCTGACAGTCCACCGTCAACTGTGGCTCGAGCATCTCCACAGCTACCGCCATTCTTTGACACGGTCAAAAACAGCCTTCTACTCCAACATCATCTTGGAGGCTAAACACAACCCGAAGGTCCTCTTTTCCATCACCCACTACCTCCTCTGTGCCCCCTCCTCAGGCCTCCTCAATCTTCATATCCAATGCCAAGTGCGAGGAGGTCATGGACTTCTGCTCATCTAAAATTCACAAAATCCGCCAGACAGCCTCATCCAACTGCCTCTTGTCACCCACCACCATGCCCTCTCTGTTCCCGTCACCTTCCCCATCATCTGCTCCTACCACCACCTCCATCCTACATTCCTTCCTCCCCATCTCTCCCTCCTCCCTCTCTCCGACCATCACCTCCATGAAACCCACCACCTGCTGCCTCGACCCCCTCCCCACCAACTTGCTGGTCACCCTCCTCTGCCCACTAATGGCTGATGACATCAACTAGTCCCTCTCCTCCGTATCAGTCCCTGCTCCCCTCAAAACTGCTGTCATCACCCCCTCCTCAAAAAACCTTCCCTAGATCCCTCAAACCCCAGCCACTATCGCCCCATTTCTAACCTGCCCTTCCTCGCTAAAGTGTTAGAACATATTGTTGCCAATCAACTTCATGTACACCTCTCTTCCCACTCCCTCTTCGAACCCCTCCAGTCCGGTTTCCGCCCTGCCCACAGTACAGAGACTGCGCTTGTGAAAGTCACAAACGACATCCTCTCTATCTGTGACCAGGGCTCCCTCTGCCTCCTTGTCCTCCTGGACCTCTCTGTGGTGTTCGACACAGTCGACCACGCCATCCTCCTCCACCACCTTTCCTCTGTCATCCACCTCAATGGGACCGCAATCTTCTGGTTCAAGTCCTGCCTCACAAACTACCAGCAGTACATCTGCACAAACGGCTTCTTCTCCCGCTCTCACCCAGTCACCTGCGGGGTACCCCAAAGATCCATCCTTGGTCCCCTCCTCTTTCTGATCTACATGCTCCCTCTTGGGGATGTCATCCGCAGACATGGGGTACATTTCCACATGTATGCGGACGACACCCAACTCTTTCTCCACCTCGCTTTGCGACCCCCAGTCCCCTGATGTTCTGTCAGCCTGCCTGTCAGATCTCAGAGGCTGGATGAGCGCAAATTTCCTTCAACTGAACGTCGACAAGACAGGAGCCATACTCTTTGGCTCTTGTCAACGTCTCAAATCCCACGGCTCTCACCTCCTCCACCTACCCGACCTCCCCCTAAAACTCTTCAAATCCGTACGCAACCTTGGCGTCAGGTTCGACCCCCAATTGTCCTTCCTCCCCCGCACCCGGTCCCTCACCAGCACCGCTTTCTTCCACCTCCAACCCATCGCCAGTCTCCACAAATACCTCTCTCCGAAGGCCACAGAAACCCTAGTCCATGCCTTTGTCACCTCTAGGCTGGACCACTCTAACGCCCTCCTCACCGGTCTCCCATCCACCACCATCCATAAAATCCAAATCATCCAAAACTCTGCCGCCCGCATTCTCACCAAACTACGTTCCCCAATTACCCTAGTCCTTGCCAGACTGTACTGGCTGCCTATCCCAAAGAGGATCGATTTCAAGATCCTCATCCTTGTATTCAAATCCCTCCACTCCTCTGCACCTCCCTACCTCTCTGACCTCCTCTCTCCTCAAAACAGTACGCGTTGCCTTCGTTCCTCCGAGTCTGGCCTCCTCCTCGTCCCCCGAGTCCTCCGCTCCACCCTCGGCGGCCGTGCCTTCAGCCACTATGCCCCGAGACTCTGGAATTCCTTTCCTTACTCTCTTTGCCTCGCTTCCTTTCGTCCTACTTTCAGGTCCCTACTGAAGTCCTTTCTTTTCGACCGCACCTTTGGTCACCTTCCTCCCCCTCTCGGCCCCGGGATTCATTACTGTGAAGCGCTCTGAGATGCCGTCCGGCGTGGAGGGCACTATATTAATCCAAATTGTTGTTGTAGCAAATCACGTCCTGGCTGTTTGGGGGACATTGCTGTGTGCAAACTGGCTACTTCATTTGCATACAGACAAATGCGGTACACTTTACAGAAAACCTGTGAAGCACTTTGAGACATTTCAATGATGTGATAAATGCTACATCAAATGCAAGGAATATTGATTACACAAATTTTAGATCTCATTTCCACTACCCAAATAACTGTAGGGGAGACTGGGAAATTTGCCTGAAGAACAGATGTCTTTGCTCTCAGCCTGACAACATTACTTGGACAACAGAAATTATGAAAATAAATTTCTAACGATGTTTCCCACAAGCACAAAGGCTTGAGATGATTGTGATTGAGTTGATAACTATCCTGCTGAGTTACTTCTCTCCATAACAGTGCTCTGGCAATGGGAACTCCAGGTAGCTCTCCAAAAGCAGGACGACAAAATCAGAGGAATGTGCATTCATTGTGAGGTTACATTCACATACCTCCTGGGAGATCATTCAGATCAGCAATTAGTAAAGATAATAATAATCCTTGCATTTCATATAGCGTTTTTTACATCTTCTAGACGCCTTACAGCGCTTCACAGAATAGACTGTAAAGTGAATTGACTGTATATTTGTGGGCGAAATGTGGCAGCCAATTGCGCACAGCAGTGTCCCACAAACAGTCGTGGATTGAAATGACCAATTTATTTTTGAGGGATTATTATCAGGGGTGTGGAGTAAGAAAACTTGCACAAGGTTTCACCCTTCTGGGAATCGAAGCCAGATCTCTCACTTGCAAAGCGAGCTACAGGACTCCAGGAGATGTATTTAGGTTGCATGCCTCCTTTTTAGTTTCAAATACTGTACTCTCAGGCACATAATTTTATATCCCCCAATATTTACTTACAATAGGATTAATAGTATTGATTTCTGCAGTCAGAAAAAATGTTGTTGTGGTGCCCTCTGCTCCCTTGACGTTCCAGGAAACAAATACTAAAACAGCCTGCGCTTGATGTAAGAACCGACTTCTGAATTGCACTGCAATGTCAACGTGACCCCTGTTCAAAAAACATTGCTAATTTAGTAAATCTTGATAAGTTAGCACTATAAACACATATCAATGACACAAAAACATGTAAAGTGTCAGTCACAAGAACTGCATTAAAATTTAACTCATGAATTCTACTGCAATTGTGTGATGATAACACGTACAATGTGATTTAATCTCTACAATCATTTAACTTTAACATTAATATGTTCACTACTGTAATTATCTATCAAGAATATTTTCAAATCTGATTCAAATTGCTACCATGCAATTTTTAAAAATATTTTTTAAAAATTTCAAATTGTAAAATATTATTATGGACATGATATAGAATACTACAGCATAGAAGGAGGCAATTCTGCACACTGTGTCTGTGCCATTTCTTTAGAAGAGCTACCCAATCAGAAATCACTCTCCCTCTCTTTCCCCATATCCTTGCAAATCTTTCCTTTTCAAGTACCTATCCAATTTCCTTTTGAAAGTTGTTATTGAATCTGTTTCCACCACCCATTCAAGCAGTGCATCCCAGACCATAACAACCCTTGGTGTAAAAACATTTCTCCTCATCTCCCCTCTGGTTCTACTGTCAATTATCTTGAATCTATGTCCCCTGGTTACTGACCCACCTGCCAGTGAAAACAGTTTATCCCTATCTACTATATCAAAACCCCTCATAATTTTGAACACCTCTATTAAATGTCCCCTTAACCTTCTCTGTTCTAAGGAGAACAATCCCAGCTTCTCTAGTCTCATCTCAATCTCAATCTCAATAAATCTCAATTTATATAGATTTTCAGAATGTAATTGATAATCTGCCACATAATTATGCTAAAATTGGAAGTAATCTCATAGCATGGATAGGAAAGTAGCTGAAAGTGGAAAAACAGAATTTGGAGAAAAAGAATACTGTGATTGTTGGGAAGTAAGAAGTGGTTTGTTTCCACCCCATCCCCTTTCCCATAATTAGTGCTTGGGTCCAACTTTATACACTGTATAAATTATAAATGACCTAGGCACTGAAATAAATCCAATTTTGTTGATGACATTTAACCTGAAGTGTTGTAAGAGAGCAGAAAGTTACAAAGGGATGTAATCATATTAAACTAGTGGATGAAACTATAATAGAAATAGTTCAAACATAGCAAAGTGTGAGATAGTAAGCACATTTAGACATAACAATGGCAGAATCTTCTTCTTCTATACTAACAAAACGACAATGTCTGTCTGTGCTTCAAGAAGGATCTCAATAACCGATTGACGTAGCGATATGATGTATCCCTCATTGGAAAGATCTTGCACTGGTAGTGACATGGGCATATTTGTTTTCGGGTATCTCCTATCCTTCATGAGTTAAGACCCAAAATGTATTTCAGTTTTGCATTTTTCTCTGCAGTTACACCTGGTGGTGTAACTGGTGTAAAAAGATGCCTAAGTGAAAATCAAATCTTTCAAGAATAAGTAAATATGCTAGACAAAAGAGAGAAGGCCCATTAAATGAATCTGAAGAAAAGCATGGATTTTCATGGATTCAGCATAAACATTCAAAGACATATTTACATCAAATTATGAAGAATGAAGCAGCATGAAAATAAGGGATGTTTTTAGCATTTTTGTATTTTCTACATAATCTGAAAAAGATTTTAATTTGTTAAAATGTAACCACTGGTTTATAATAAATCAAAGATAAATTACAGTTATGCAAAACGAAAAAAGACAGGAACTAAAGAGATTATCGTATGCATGAAAGAAAATGGAATGTTTCAAATACAATTTAATCTAATCTTTAGTACAAACATCATGATGCATGGATTATTGTACTGCAACTCACTTTGCAGAGACTGTCACTTTGTTTCCTTTGGGCAAAGAGAAGTCATCTGCCTCTCTGCCCACTATTGTTGCAAGGTACACGAGTTGTCTGGAGCTTGGATTTTTCAAACGGATCTGCATCAAAATAAAGTTAAGTATTAATCCTCTTTTTTGATATAAAATAATTGTTTAATGCTAGAAAGAAATTAAATGATGTAATAAAATTAACCATTAACTATATAATCTATACTAATAAAGATAAAATGTCTGTCTGTGTGTCCGCCAAGAACGCAATAACCGATTGACGTAGAGATATGATTTATACCTCATCAGAAAGGCCTTGCATGGGGGAGAGTCATGGGCATATTTTTTTCGAGGATCTCTTATCGTTGATGAGCTATATTAAAAAATGTTTTAATTAAGCCCCCAAAAACGTATGCATGGTATTCTACAACAAAGTAGCGACAAAGGTCACACACACCAAGAAAGTTACATCTTTATACTAATAAAGATGAAATGTCTGTCTGTGTGTCGATCTAACCAACATGATTTATACCTCATCGGAAAGGTCTTGCATTGGGTAGTGTTATGGGCATTTTTTTTGGGGGGATCTCCTATCGTGATCTAAACAAACTCATCACACATGTACAGACTCCAACAAGGAGTCCTCCAAACAAGAGTCCTTCCACAGGAGACTTACCATAGGAGTCCCCCCAACCAGGAGTCCTCCTACTGAGTCTTCCCAACAGGAGTCCTCCTACTGAGTCTTCCCACTGAGACCTCCCAACAGGATATGTGTGCAAATATGTGAACCAGGAATGCTAAAGAGTTCAATAGTACATTTTCTTAATCTTAAGAGATAAAAATGCCTAAGAGGCGAAGATCAAGCCTTTCAAGGACAAATAAAAATGCCACTCGAAAGAGAGAAGGCCGATTAAATGAAGCTGGTTGCAAGCATAGCTGCAACATGTACAGCTAGTAATATTACAATCAGGCTGCACTGCATTTCCAATGTGTACATTTAGAATAATGCAACTACAGCTTGCATTTATACACCGCCTATAGTGTGTGAATTATACACCACCTAGAGTGTGGCCAGTTTGAAATCCACCTGGGTAGGGTAAGTACATTCAATTATCCTTCTGCTATCTTGTCCTCCCTTCCCTCCCAGTCTCTGGCACATAAGCCATGACCGCCATCCCACCTCTCCCCCTACCCACTCTGCACTGTTGCCCACAAGCTGATGCTGTCCCACTGTGATCGCTCGCTCCCAGTCTCTGCATGCGCGTTTTGTCCGCCACCCCAACCCAAGCTGCTCCCCCTGGAAATTCTCCTCCTCCTCAATCCACTATTCCCACTCTGTCCTTCTCTCCCACCACCCTCCCCGGCTTCTCACTCCTGGACACCACCATTACCTCCCTTTGCCTACAAACTGGGCATCCTCCGCTAGGCCAATCGTGACTCTCAGGGTTGGTTGTTCCAGAGCAACCACTCCAACTGTCCTCTCCCTCCCAACTTCACCTTGCACCACACCCTTCGCCCAAACCAACGTGGCGGAGGGGTGGCCCTCATCTTCCAAGCTTCCCTCGGTCTATCCCCTTATTCCTCTGGCTACTTCTCCTCATTTGAGCACCTCACCCTCCACCATCCCTCCTCTCTCCCATTCAAAATTCTCCTGGTTTACCGCCCCCAAAAACCTCCTGGCTACTTCCTCTCCAATATCTCTGCTCTCTTCTCCTCCCTGTTCCTCTGATCAGAATGCCTGCTCATAATGGGAGACTTCAACTTCCACCTAAACTCCCCTGGCACCACCTCCTCACCTCCCTAAACCTCACCCTCCACATCAACTTGCTGACCCACAACCATGACCACCCCCTCAACCTCGTCGTCACACATGACATTTCCGACCTGTGCATCTCAGACCACTTCTTCATCTCCTTTTCCACTCGCATCCCTCTCTCCTCCATCAAGCCCTCAAGTATACATTTCCGCCCATTTTGAGACCCTCACAAAGGCCCTCCCATACTCTGATCTCCTATCCCTCTGGCCTTCCTTCCACCCCCAGTGACCCTGAAGCAGCCATCAAGCTGCTCCATGATCGCCTCTCTTCCACCTTCAACTCCCTTGTCCCCCTGAAATCCAGGACCGTCTACAAACCCACCTGCTCTCCCTGGTACAGCAGCCAGCTCCGCTCCCTAAAATCCCAAACCCAACTGCTCAAGCGCAGGTGGCAGAAAATCATCCTCCCGGTTCACCACCAGCTGTAGCTGGAACATCTTCACACCTACCGCCGCTCCCTGTCGCAAGCAATACTCAAACATCATACTGGAGGCCAGCAATAACTCCAAAATCCTATTCTCCACCACCCACTACCTCCTCCGTGTGCCCCCTCAAGCAACCTCAATCATCACATCTAACGCCAAGTGCGAAGAGGTCATGGACTTCCTTACCTCTAAAATTGAAAACATCCACCTGGCAGCTTCATCCTTCTGCCCCATGTCGCCTACCACTACAGCCATTCCGTCTCCCTCACCCACTCCACCCTCAGCTCCTACCACAGCCCCCATCCCACATTCATTGGTCCCCATCGCTCCTTCCTCCCTCTCATCTACCATCACCACAATGAAACCCACCACCTGCTGCCTCGACCCCATCCCCATGCAACTGCTGATCAACCAGCTCCCCCTCCTCTCCCACTGCTGGCAGACACTATAACCAGTCTCTACTGGGTCCGGCCTCCTTCGTATCCCCCGAATCCTCCGCTCAACAATCGGCGGCCGTGCCTTCAGCCACTACGCCAAAACTTTGGAACTCCCTACCTCAACCCCTTCGCTTCGCACCCTCATTTCCCATCTTCAGGTCGTGCCTGAAGACCTCCCTCTTCGACCGCACCTACTGTCACCTTCCTCCTCCCCTGGCTCAGCCTCGGGCTCCTCCATTGTTAAGTGCTCTGAGACGCAGCCCGACATGGAGGGTGCTATATAAATGCAAGTTGTTGTTGTTGTGAAATAAAATGTCTATAAGTACTTAACAAAATAAAAAGAATTAAAAATAAAATGATCGTTGTTATACAAGCAAACGCAGTGGTTAATTTGCAGCAGCAACGACCCATAAATGACTGAAATAAGTAGTCAATTAATTTAAATTTGATGAGCAATTTGCATAATAATGCAGGATGCAAGTGATCATTTGGCCAGAATTTAATAGAAATTCTTTCCTGCATATGAATTTTAGCCTGCTTATATAAATTAAAGCCTCCTCTGATTGCGACACATAATACTGGTAGAATAATACATGCCAACTTGGAATTTGCAGCATGATTAAACTTAAATGGATTTACCCCCAATAATTGGCTCAATTCGTATTTTTAGGGTCCTGGCACAAACATTTTAATACTTTGTTCAGCCTACTTAAAATGGGCAAGTTTTCATTAATACTTTGGAAAATAGTCTTAAATCCTGGACTGCCATTTTCCACATAACAGGAACATGGTAAAAACAGGACAGCGCTGTCAATGTCATTTATTTTTTCAGCGTCTTAGTAGGTCGTCCTGGCATGAAAGGCGCTATATAAATGTACTTGTTGTTGTTGTTATTTACGGATATAGTAGGTATATGATAAACAATCCAGTCTTTCCTTAACTGAATGTTAGCAAAGGGCAAAAAAAAGCCAGGGGTTCGTTTTCAGACCTCATGTCTGATATTCTCTCAGCCAAAAGAATGCCTGAAAACAAAATAGCAGTCACAATTGCAAACTAGAAGTCACAATAAGCTAGGTTGTCCAATATCACACACACATTGGAAACACAATGCAGCCTGATTGTAACCTGACACAAAAGTTCTGTAATATGATTCTGAAAGAAGTCTTTTTCTCACCTGTTTAACAATGGTGGAATGCAGACTACAAGTAAACTCCAAAGACTTCTTAGGAACGTAATTGGGAAGGTTTTCATATAAGTAGACACACAGCATAAGCATCATGACCGGGTTTGGATCAGAAATGTCAGTAGCCTGATAAATTGGAACCAAAAGTTATAATATTTAAAATATAAAATTACATGGCATCCTCAATGCTTCTGTGTGAAATAAATTGGAAAAATAGTACTGAACAATCTACTCCAATATAAATATTCAATGAAGAAAACTTGTTTCAGTTCCAATGTAAAATATATTGTATGATTATCAATAAACAACTGGTCCTCAATCAGCATTACTTCAGTTTCTACTTCCCATCCTTTTCGACTGAGACAAATCATTTCCGCTCACACCCCATCACTTATTAGGAGTTACAAGTAATGATTACAAAACTCCTTACATTTGGTATAGAGCTTTTCATACCGGGAGGATATCCCAAAGCACTTCACAAGGTATACTGTTTAGTGCAGTGACTGTGTTTTGTGAGTGAAGGCGGCAGACAATTTGCACCCAGCAATATCCCATGAAGTGAATGGCTAATTTTATTTGGGAGATTATTGTCCAGGACACCAGGAGAAACTCCCTTCTCTTTTTGAATAGTGCCATGGAATATTTAAAGTCTACCTGAACAGGCATACTGAGCCTCGGTTTAACATCTCAACCGAAGAACAGCACATCTAACAATGCAGCGCACCCCAGCACTGAAGTAAGTATCAGCTCAAACAATATAAGTTCCAATTCCTGACATTAGAATTGACATAACATTCTGACCCAAAGGCGAGAGTGCTACCAACTGAGCATTACATCCACATAACATAACTGAGACTGACATACACAGAAGAAGGGTAAGAATTCAGTGATGATTCAGGATCCTCAGTTTTTAGATTTTGGTTCTCCAATGCAACTTCTCTGCTTTCACCATTCCACCGATCTCCCCATCGTATACTGTATCATCTTTTTCCAACAGGGCTAGCTAGCCATCTCCAAATTCTTGCAAATGGTTCTCTTATCATTATGCCTCCACATAACAGTCAGTATAGCCTCGGGCCAAGGGTTCCTTTGACTTACTCTACCCTCTCATGTTTGTTGTTTAGTTTCTACTTGTCACTTTCCTGTAACAATGTTTAACTTACCTGTATATCAAAGTTGAGACCAATGGTATGAAAGGCATTGAGAAATACCAGACTGTTGTGCAAATACTGCTCAGGAGAAGATGGAAAAGTGTACATATTCACAAAGTGGGTTGAAATCTAAAAAAAGAGTAATACTTAAAATAACTGTTGTTGTCTATATCAGAATACCAACATTCCACAATTTCACAGTATTGGACGTATGCAAAGATGTTTCCAGAATGTAATAGCTATGAGGCGAAACATTTCCTAAGAAAAGAATCAAATAGTAATGCATTTACCAATTTTTCATAGCAAAAGCAAAATGCCTTCCACATCCATCAGGTCTATAACTAATTGCTGTAGCATCTTATTCTTGGCTACAATGGAAATTTGAATCCAATCCAAACTAATCTGTTATTTGCAGATTGGAGGTTGGAGCAGGATAGCTTTCATCTAGTAGCTGAGTTTCATAATAATTCATAATAATAATTTCATAATAATAATAATATTTGTTTCATAACAAATAATACCAGTATTCTTGTAAGATAAAACTATTGCTTTTAGAACCATACAGATGATACATGTGCTCCTTAGACAAATACTAACAGCATCTTCTTGTATGTTCTCTGACATTTTCTTATTCAGAGTATCAAATAACTCATCCACAATCATTAGCTTTATATCTTACTCATGTTTTGAACATTGGAATACTATCCTCCAGTCCTCAGTTACTGCACTAGTCTCTAAGGAGATCCTAACTATATTAACCAGGAATATTCAAGACCAGGAAAGAGCAGTGCTGTGTCTCTGAATGATCATTACTGTCCCTCAAAGTATTTACTTGTACATTCATATGGAATGATACATTTGAATTTATAAATCTTATCCAGACAATATTTTTAAACATTCTAACTTGATTGTTAAGTATTTTTGATACTTCTGTCGTGTACAGTTTTGTTTTAAGAGGTTATATTTGTCGTTTCACTTGTCATATTATAAATTCTATAAAACAAGATTAAAACAAAACCATTTTATCCAGCTAATTCTCCCTCAATGTCTATCAAAACAATAAAACCAAAATTTCAAGGAGGTTAGATGCAGTTGTTAGAAATACAATACTATCACCTACCATAGAGGGGCAATAATGAGCCAGAACGGCAGCCAGCACCAAACTATCCAAGAGATTTGCGTCAAAATTAATTACCCAGCGCATTGCTGGGATACCACCTATTTAAAAAGAAAATATAAAAAGTCACAAGCACAGGCCGGAAGCTGTTTTTGAAACAAACAGTATTAATTGTACATCGATACGGAATAGTTGGTCATAATGGCCTGTTTCTATGCTGTACCACTCTATATAACTCTATGCAACACAATTCTTGTTTTTACTCTAAGGGAATTTTAAAGCCTGAGGAAATTCTCATTACATTAAGATTATTTGAACCGTCATGTCATAATAAATTGTTGTGCTGCTGATTGTCCACAGATCTACTACAAAACAAACAAAATCTATTATGTAGCTTCCTGTGCTATATAAATGAAGGGCCATATAATAATAATAATAATCCTTGCATTTGATATAGCGCATTTTACGTCTTCTAGACATCCATAAGCGCTTCACAGAATATACTGTAAAGTGAATTGACTGTATATTTGTGGGCGAACGCGGCAGCCAATTGTGCACAGCAGTGTCCCACAAACAGTCGTGGATTGAAAATGACCAATTTATTATTGTTTTTTGTTTTGTAGGGATTATTATCAGGCATGTGGAGTAAGGAAACTTGCCCAAGGTTTCACCCTGCCTGGAATTGAACTCAGGTCTCTCGCTTGCAAAGCGAGTGCTCTAACCACTGAGCTACAGGACTCCTTATGTTCATGCAGTAGCAAGAATCTCTTTTGCCATATATATTACCTAATCAAAATGAACAGTTTCATTGCATCTTATGATATCTAAATATTTCAAGGAACAACCATTATCACCTCCCTTTGAAGAAACCTTCCCATGACCCAACACAGCTATCCAACTACTAGCCCATCTCCCACCTCCCTTTTCTGTCCAAGGTCCTTGAGAGAGAGATTTTCTTCCAGCTTCGCTCTTTCCTCTCCTCCCACTCCCTCCTTGAGCCCCTCCAATCGGGTTTCCGTGCTGCCCACAGCGCGGAAGCTGCTCTCGTCAAGGTCACAAATGACATCCTGATCATGTGTGACCAGGGCTCCCTCTGCCTCCTCGTCCTCCTCGACCTCTCTGCCGTTTTTGACACTGTGGACCATTCAATCCTCTTCCACCACCTCTCCTCCCACCTCAACCTCCAAGGATCTGTCCTTGACTGGTTCAGGTCCTACCTTTCACACCGCCTCCACTTCGTCTCAACTAACAGCTTTTCCTCCAGCTCCCGCACCGTCTCGTGCGTCATTCCTCAGGGCTCTGTCCTCAGTCCCCTCCTCTTCACCCTCTACATGCTCCCCCTTGGTGACATCATCCGCAGACATGGGGTAAATTTCCACACGTATGTGGATGACACCCAACTCTACCTCTCTGCCTCCTCCCTCAACTCCAGGGCTACTGGCGTCCTGACCCACTGCCTGTCCGACATCAAGTTCCAGATGAGGGACAACTTTCTCCAACTCAACGTCAGCAAGTCCGAGGCTCTCTTGATCGGCTCAAGCCAGCGTCTCCACATCAGCTTCTACGGCTGCACACTCATCCTCACTAAACCAGTCAGGAACCTGGGTGTCTTATTTGACCCTGAACTGTCCTTTCTCCCCCACATCCGCGCCATGATCCACACTGCCTACCACCACCTCCGCAACATTGCCAGACTCCGCCACTGCCTCACCCCTCAGGCTGCCGAAACCCTCACCCACGCATTCGTCACATCAAGGCTCGATTATGGAAATTCCCTCCTCATCGGGCTTCCCAATTCTTCCCTTCACACTGTAGATCATCCAAAACTCTGCAGCTCATGTACTCTCGCGCACCAGGCTCCGTGACCCCATCACTCCCACCCTCGCCCGACTCCACTGGCTCCCCATCCCCCAGAGGATCGAATTCAAGATCCTCAACCTCACTTTCAAGGCCATCCATGGCCTTGCCCCCTCCTACCTCTCTGACTTGCTAACTCCCTGCCAACCTACCCACTCCCTCCGATCAGCGCGCTCCGGCCTGCTCCATGTCTCCCGCCCGATCCGCCCTACCGTCGGTGGCCGAGCTTTCAGCCTTTCTGCCCCATACTCTGGAACTCCATCCCACAGTCACTTCGCCTAGCTTCCTCCCTTGCTTCCTTCAAGGCCAGTCTCAAGACCCTCCTCTTCAATCGTGCCTTCGGTCGCCCTCCCACCTCTCTGCCTTCCCTCACCCCTACCACACCCCTCCTCCATGCTCGGGTCCTGTACCCTGACTGTCCAGTGCCTTGGGATGTCCTCCTGACGTGAAAGGCGCTCTATAAATTTAATTTTGTTGTTGTGTTATGGCAATAACTGTCAAGTGAGGTGATCACGTCTTCAAGACTTCTCAAAGGTTTTCTTGCTCCTATTAGTGACTGTTCTTCACTAATACAGTAAACTCTTGATAATTCGTCACTCCAGAGAAAAGAGCTCAGTGACAAGTTATCGAGAATTAGGTTCTTCTGGGCCACAAGTGGATGCTGTGGATCATGCAAGAACTCTGAGAATTTGGGTAGGCATGATCAGATGCATTGCAGAAGTCTCTGGTCTATTGGAGTGCCGCCCCAAGGTCTCCTGCCCTATCCTGTTTCAAAGATCTCTGGTCTATCCTGTCACAAGATATGGGAAGAGGTGGGGCGGAGGCCCTCCAATAGACTAGAGGCTTTTGTGATACATCGGAGCATGCTTGCTCAACCTCCACTGAGCTCTCTACCAGTGACAGGATAGGGTGAGAGGCCGCTGCAATGCAGGACAACATCCTGTAGAAAAAGTTAGCCAATCAATTTTACATTGTAAGTACTTACAAGAATTTCTGGATGCAAAAGTTACATGTTAAGCCGAGTGACAAATAAAGGATAATCTCTTATTAACATTCTGCAAGGGAAGCAGTCGGGATATTGACAGCATGGCGACTAAAGTGGTAATAACCAGTTAATCCAGAGTCAAGTTATATATGTTTAACATACAGATTCAATATTCAAGTATAAACTGTAGTATAAATCCAAGTTTAGGAGCATTGATTCAGTTCCAAACCCAAACCCATTACTTCTCAGTGACAGAATAGAATCAATGTTATTAGCTGTAATATAAATTGTGCTCTATTGCAACTGATTTCAATAAAACTTATTGGGAATTATTTGCTGATTGCTTGTAAATTTACAGACCTTGATGGATTAAATATATAATGGGGGAAAAGCCAACAAGGAAGAAGGGAAACAAGATGGGCAGTCTGCCTGAATGTTCTCATAACCTTCCAGGAACTGGTTCAGAATGGCATAGTACATTGGCTCAAAGGATGATGCAATTGGGAAGAAAATAACTTACGAAAACAGAGACAATCCTCTCTGCACAAGCATAACACACTTTAAACATTAAAGAATAGTAATGTTTGATAACTGAATGATTGAAACATAGGAGTTCAACAATGCACTTTTAGTCTGCTAAAGTTTCACAAATGCTTAATTTTACTGTTTCAAACAGACTGCACAGATCAAGGTTCCTTTTTGCCTCACTAATAAAACTGTGAGCATGCATTTTTTATTTTGATAAACTGACTCACAAATATTCTATTTATACTTAACCTAATTTTTACATCAAATTAGAATTAAAATATAATACAATTAAAACAAACAAAATCCTTACCAAAATTGAGACTACTGAAGATAATATGAATCATAGAGACAGATATAGTTTGAGTATCCAACTCTAACAGAGAATCCCTTAATGATACACCAGATTATTACCTGGGTTTGGTTATGATGAGAGGCTGTAAAACATTATATAATAACCCTTGCATATGATATTGCGCCGAATCACAGTCGTCAATACATCTCAAACCGCTTCACAGAATATATTTCTGAGAGCTGAGGAAGTTAACTGAGGTGTTTAAAATAATGAATTGGATTCATAAATTAGATGTGGAATGATTCATCTCTCTAGTGAAAGGATCCTAAACAATATCTTAACATTAGAGCTAAACAAGTAAAAAAATAAATTAGAAAACATTTCATACACAAGATTATGAAAACATGGATTGCACTTCTCCAGAAGGTCACTGATGCATAAAGCCTTCCAAGTTAGAGTGAACAGTCCAATAACTTTTTCATTGCTACAACCAATGCAATGTGGAACACAAGTGATAATAACACAAAGTGATAATAATCCCTCAAGAAAATAAAATAATAAATTGGTCACTTCAAACCACGACTGTTTGTGGACACTGCTGTGCGCAATTGGCTGCCGCATTTCGCCCTCAAATATACAGTCAATTCACTTTGCAGTATATTCTGTGAAGCGCTTTGAGATGTCTGGAAGACGTGAAAAGCACTATATCAAATGCGAGGTTTATTATTATTATTAAATCAAGTTTGTGCTCCATCTTCCATACAGTACTGCTGGTAGCAATTTACATTTGGTTCCAACAAGACACATGACACATTTTTTATACAGGCACGGAGATTCAGATTGCCTCCATTTCCTTTTCAGTGAGAGTGTGCATAACTACAATACATTAATTCCAAACCTAATACAACGTTAGTAAAATATAATTAACACAGATTTTAAATTGCTACCTGTATTGTCTGGTACTTAACGATTTCTTTTTACCAATAATATGATTCTTATAAACTAAAATTCTAACATCCTGATTTGTATTTTTAGATTCTTTCTACTCATGCATACCAATACTTCAACATGTCAAATAAGGAGTCTTACATTTTGGAGCAATTTTCTCTTTTACCTTTTTGGCAGTCTTTCCATACATGATGTCTCATGTTTTCATAATGAATGTTGAGCCAAGTTAGGAGGCAGCGCTCAGGCGCGGAATAAATATTGCTAGCAAGAGAGTCAGGATTAATTTTTGGAATACTATCCATGTATTTTGCATAGCTAAAGGTTTTGCTTATATCCTTTTGATTTATTCGTGAAAGAACCGAAACCTAGGAAACCAAACAAATTAATTAACCATCAATTTTTCAATTTTACACAAGTGTAAATTGTGTTTACATTTCTAGATTTAAACACAAAACACAAATGATATACATATTATAGTACAATATTTCAGAATGTTCATGCATCAGGGGTCTAATTTAATAAGTTTACGTCAGCTGGACTAATCCTTATGCAATCATTTAAACTGCATAGAAAACAAAAGTGATAGATGTAGCTGGGTGGAGAAGTAGGTTTGCAGATAATCTTTTCACCTCATTAGTTTTGAAACCAGCTCAGGTGAAATGAAAATTCTCGCTCTTTCTGGTGAGTGTTTAGATTCTATAGGAAATTAATTTATTGCTCAGTATCAATTCACTTTCCAGAGGGTGCAGATCAACCCCACAAAACTGCCGACAATTCAACAACATTAATGGATTTATGGTAAATCCTTCATGTAGAATAATGTCTCAGAACACATTATAAACTGTCCTGTTACCCAGCAGAGTGTGTGGATGAGGGGTGAGGAGGGAAGGGGACAGTAGACACGTAGGAGAGATACGATTTTAGGCGGCTTTTTGAACATAAAGGGGTGAAATGGGGGGTTGATGGAGGAAGTTCCAGAAGGTGGGGATCATGAAGGTTTTGGTACAGCAAAGGGTGTAGCAGGCCCAAGTTTGCTTAGGCTCCATGACCCTATCACTCCCATCCTTGCCCAACTCCACTGGCTTCCCATCACACAGAGGATACAGTTCAAGATCCTGGTCCACTCCTTCAAAGCCCTACACAGTCTTGCTCCTCCCTACCTCTCCGACCTCCTAACCTTGGGGCCTTGTTTGTCCCTCAACTATCCTTTCTACCCCACATTTGCGCCATGACCCGTTCTGCTTTCCTCCACCTCCGCAACATCGCCCAGGTCTGACACTGTCTCACACCGCAGGCCGCCCAAACCCTCATACATGCCTTCATTACATCGAGGCTTGACAATGTAAACTCACTGCTTGTTGGCCACCCGACCTCCTCCCACCACAGGCTGCAGATCATCCAGAACTCTGCAGCCCGTGTCCTCTCCCGCACTAGGCTTTGCGACCCTATCAACCCCAGCCATGCCCAACCCCACTGGTTTCCCATCACACAGAGGATACGATTCAAGATCCTAGTCACCTTCAAAGCCCTCCACGGTCTTGCTCACCCCTACCTCTCCAACCTGCTAAACCCCTACCACCCTGTTCGCTCGCTCCACTCAGCGGGTTCCAGCCTGCTTCACGTCCCCCACCTTGCTCGCCCCACTATTTGCAGGCGGGCCTTCTGCCACTCTGCACCCATCCTTTGGAACTCCATCCCGCAGTCCCTCCATCTCGCCCCCTCCCTCACTACATTCAAGACCCATCTCAAGACCCTCCTCTTCGACCGTGCTTTCAATCTCCCTGCCTCCCCCCCTGCCCTCCAGCCTCCCCCACCCCGACCCCCAACTCTGGTCCGTAACTGTCTGTCCAGCACCTTGGGATGTCCTCCTGACGTGTAAGGTGCTATACAAATGTAATTTTGTTGTTGTTGTTGCCTAGTTGGGATTGGGGATGAGCAGAAGAGTGAGGCTGTAGAAAATCTCAGAGGTGAGGAGGTACAAGGGAGTGAACAGATGTATAGATCAAAGTGAAGATCTTAAAGTCAATCCATTTGGCCATGACTGTTGTAGATGGTTACATTTAGTAAACAAATAACATCTCGACCTTTTGTTGTCTGGATCCATTAGAGATAGTGAGACAGTGGATCCTGGTTAGGATGGCGGGATGGGCTCTTCTTACATATAACAATTAAAAATTCTGAACACATTTTACCTTATAAATTTGTAGCAATACATCAGTCCATGCACGTTTGCTTGCAGACTCAAACAAATCCTTATCCAGGTCAAGAATTTCAGCTTTTTCTGATCTCTGTAGACAACAAGAGGTATGGATTTTATCAGGTATTCACTATTATTTTGTTTACTAAATGTAACCACAACAGTCCATAAAATCAAAATTGATGGCCAGAGACCCAATTGTTACTACCTTTTTTTTAATGAATGATGAATCTTAAATGCGCAGGAATTTCAACTCTTCACTGTGAAACATAAATTTTCTTTTCCATAAGTGAGTCACAATTAGCTTCACGAATGGAACTAAAACTATTTTTTGTAAAGGTATATCAGTTATAGTCAGAAACAAAATATATTGCAGTATATTTTTAGCTTTGGGAATAATGAGTTACACAGAGAAAAACAAGATAAATTCATTTTCTAATTTTAGTTTCTTAACATCAAGAATACTGAAATGATGATATCATTATTAATAATAATAATAATCCTTATATTTAGTACAGCATCTTTCATGTCAGGAGCATAGTGCTTCACACCATAGAATGTCTCTGTGTTTTGTGGGTAAAATTAAGTACTATGCTCACTATCACCAGCCTGTCTCCACTGAACCTTACAAGTTCTAAAAAAAATCTATGACGGATACTGCTAAGTTGACAATATAGTTGACAATAAAGTTACATACCTGCAACTGATTCCATTGTGTGAACTCTTCAATGTCAAACAATAACTCAGGTCTTACATGTGCAAGCGAAGCACCTTGTTCTCTGCAAAATAATAAACAAACACTGAAGTTATTCTGCATTCATTTTCCTTATCTTGTGGACAAGACCCTAAAATGATAAACACAGAATTCTTATTTGACAGATGTGTTTGATTTGATGTAACTCTTTATCTACTATCCTCTAAGAGGGAGGGGGGATGGGGGAAGGCAATAGGGATCTCCTCAGTTCTCATCTGGCTCTAAAACAATGGAAATGGAATATCAAAATTGAGCCGATTCTCTGTGGCCTTGTAGTCGAGTTCCTGAGCCAGACAGCACTCCAAGACATCATTGTAGCCTGGCTTGTCAGCAGAATTTAGATGTGCAGCTTTGTCCATTTATGATCGCATTCTGCATCCTATTCCCAAGATAGTTTTATATCAAACTAACAAAAGTAAAATGCATTTACTTACTCTAAATAGGTTAATAACGTAGAATGCAGCCAATGTAAGCCCTTTACATGGTCCACTGGGTCCCTGGGCAACTGATGCTTTGAAATTATTGGCAATATCTGTCCACTTAAATGGCTCAGAGCATCATAAATGGTCATTCTTTCTGTGGCAAGCTCCCTGCTGAAGTTAGAAGAAATTTGCATTCAGATGTCCAGTTAAAATGATTTTTGCTTCTTTCACTGAAACAAATAATTTTACATTTTTAATCTTTTCCATATAGACATTTTGTTGGGGATTTATAACATACTTAAACTATCAAGATGCCTTGAAGTTATGAGACTTGCTTCACAGAAATTACCGTTCCTCTTGGTGTTGTCCAATTATCCATATGTTCACAACATAACAATGGAGACAGCCGCAGGATATCAAATATACATTGGAAAATTCAGGTGAGGTCAGGTTGTCCAATGGATTGTTAGCCCAGTCGCTCTTCTTTAATGTTTCAGTACAAATACTGAGAATATTTATCCCAATTTTTTTTAAATTGAAGAACAAAGCCAGAATTATATAAATCATGTTATAGAAATCATAATTCTCTGAATTTATTTTTCTGCATTTACCTTCTCAATGAATATGGAATTGAAATGGAATGCATTCCTTTAGACCAGCCAAAAAGACTGAACCAATTCTGTACAGCAGTTAGAACCCTTTCACAAAAAGGTACTTCTTCGTTATCATCAGGGAAAGTCAGCACTCCCATTCTTTTATTTTTCTCCCAAATCTGTGAAGTTCCGTCACCTGCCTCATCACTATTACTTTCTATTTCCCTACTTTCACTCTCAGAAGATCCTGCAATAAAAAAAGGACAAACACTTTAATGTAAATACAACAAGCAAATCTGAGGTAATGTTTATGAAACAAAACCTTTTGTAGTAATAGCTGGAACTACAACGTGACCAACATGTCATGATAACTACCCTATTATCTAAAAATATATATATAATTTCTTTAAGACTTACCATTGTAATGGTATCACGACTTGTTGGTCACCATGTATAAATGCTGTTTGATTGATATTCATGAAACACTAAATTTGAATGTGCAAAACATTTATTAAAATTGTTTTTCCCAAATAGACTAGCTTTCAATTTGTACAAAAAGACACCGGTTGCTTTCTTAATAGACTAGCACTGTTTACAACAATTTTCATTGCACACCCTCCTGACATGAAAGATGAGGATTATTACTAATATCATAAGGTTGTTTGTTTAAATTCCATGCCAGAATTGAGTTTATAGTTAGGCTAACATTACAGTGTGGTACAATGGGAGTGCTGAATTGGCGGAGGTACTGAGGTTCTGACTGCCTCTTTGTGTGTGATTTCAGTGTAATTGGTGCAGAATGAACAATACCTGAAAACGACCCATCATTTAATGTGAAAGCAGTAAATGAGGTACTCGAAGTATTGAGTGAGGAATTTTCTGTGACACCATAGGTTTGCAGAAAAATTTTTGCATTGCTATTTCCATCATCATAATCTTTAAAAAAAAGACAAACCATTACTAGCAATAACCTGGACCAATAGAAACGTGCGGCCACACCATTTCCACATTTCCCTCTATAACGTCCCCCATCCGTTTTTACAAAAGAGTGAGATAATGGGTAGAGCAATTAAAAGGAATAACTATAGAAAACACAACTTAATTTAGAGAACTTAATTCACCAGGCCATAATGGCATGCATCCGAAAGGGAAGTCAGAGAGGAAAGAGAAAAGACTCTAACCACACCTTTTCAATATTAAACAAAAATGTGGCAGCATGGATAGAACATTTTGTGTTCGTAACTAATTTTGTTTTGATTTTCATCTTTAATTGTTATTGCCATTCTTCATTATGCATATATTGATATCTGTTATATAAAGCTGATTTTTTTAAAATAGTGCATGATATACGCAAAGAAAGGAGAAAAAAATCATCAGTACCACTCCTGACTACAATTAACCGATCCTTCCTTTAATATGTTTGGACATTAGGTGAAAACAGGATCAGGCTTGGTTGATATGTCCTCTACATTCAAATACTAGAGAAACTGTGCCACAGTAGAATGCACTCACAAAAGGAGGAGGGAAAAAGAATAGGGATTTTGTTTATGTAAAATATATATACACACACATATAGTGCCAAAAACATGAGGAATCAACATGCGGCATGCCTCCTAATGAAACACAGAACATCATGACATCTTAAAGATATGTAGCTCAGGGGGCTTTCTCCCTCAGCAAAATGGAATTTCTATTCATATGAGAGCCCACTTACCAGTTTTGATAATGATATTTTGGTCTTTGTGATTTAAACCAATGTATGAATACACAGTCAACAGACAATTATCTGCAGTTGCAGAAACTGGCAGCTTGAACCTGCATAGGAGGAATGGTAACATTAGGGCTTAAATGAAAAATTATGCTTCTCATAATAATAATAATCCTTGCATTTGATATAGTGCTTTCCACATCTTCTAGACGTCTCAAAGCGCTTCACAGAATATACTGTAAAGTGAATTGACTGTATATTTGTGGGTGAAATGCGGCAGCCAAATTGCACACAGCAGTGTCCCACAAACAGTCATGGATTGAAGTGACCAATTTATTATTGGGTTTTTTTCTTGATGGATCATTATTCTGATACATTAGTCATACTGCACCTAATATTTATACATTATATAACAATGTTAATTTGTTTGAAAAATCTGGGAATATACAAACACACACAAATACACACCCACACTCATAAAATGCAATCTTAAGCAAAACAGAAGGATCCATACTTTTGCAAAATTGTCCAACAATTTTATGATTTTACAAGAAAACCATATCTTAAATGGTATTGCCTGTCCCAAACATGCTCACAATTATGACAATAAATTGGACTTTGAAAACGTTTATGGTTAGGACCCCAGAATAATAGATAGGATATGGTAGAACTATAAAATTGATATTTTGCTGGTTTTAACACTGAAGAAGAAGCATTATGATAGCAGAGATTGAACGGGAGAGATTTATAAGAATTAATATGAACAGGACAATTGTACAAGGTACACATTGGAATGTGAAAACAACAAAATTTCCAGGTCCGACAGTTTCCATACCCATGGTCATAAATTAGAAATGTGTTCGTTGAAACCTTTCAAAGCTCTCTGATGTCAGATGTAATACCAGAAGATTGCAAGGCAGCAAAATGATACTATTCTTTAAAAAGTAAGGAAGGGACAAAGTAAATAACCAGGCAAATAAGTTTTAACATCAGAGATGGATTCCAAGAGTTTGAGAAAGTGCATGGTGGTGGTGTGGGGAGGTCCCAAAGTGCTCCTGTTCAAAATAGTATGTGCAAACACTAAACTGAATGACAACAAATTAAGATAAAGACACAGAAAAGTTTTTTTATTTTCTAACAGATTATTTATCTACTTGATTAACTGCATTAAAATCTAGCAACTCTTTCACAAACTAACAATCTTAATGTGTGCACATTCATTTAATAAGGATAAAAAAAAGAAACATTTCTTACCTGTTATTTTTCTGATCAATGAAAATGACATTCATAGACAATGAGATTGGTTTGAATGAACAGAAGGTAATAATGCAAGTTATGCTTGTATTCTTCTCACTCAATACCTCAAGACCATCTGGGAACTGGAATGATAGTAGCTTAACTCTCATCTCATCCCCCATTTCAATATCTGGGATTTCAACTTCAAGGATGCATTCTCTGGAACTAAATCAAAAAAATATTCTCCCAACTCAATGCATTAAATAGTTTAACTGCCTAATTTGCAGCAAAGCAGGATCAGAATGATCAATAGATATGTCAGAACTTCATTTCCTGAATTTATAAATCTTAAATCTCATTATAACCTGAGGGCATGGATGATTAAAAATATTCTACCCCATCGCAATATAGCATGGAATACTGCTGGCTAAACAGAAGCTGTTTCGTAAAGTCAAAATCACTTTCTTATGCATTAGAGTATTAGAGGATACAGAATTGATGGCAATGATCCATTGATCAGCAGATTCTTAACATCACATCCTGATCTATAGTTCACTGAAGAGTAGGAGTGTCAGACAAAAACACAACTTCAGCTCTGCACCTCCAACTGGTGGAACCATCACACAATGGCAAGGAACATGTGTCTGAACTGTGGACAGGAAGATGGTGGCAATGCTTTCACGTATTTCCTGATGAGCCATGTTGCCTACCATCCCCCTAGTGAGGGCTCAACCCGTGTTTGTTGGATGTCATATGACCAACTAGTGACTATCCTCCTTGGGGGAGAAGTAAGTGGGGTCTTCTTGAACTGACTCCAAGGTGGCATGTTAGGCAATGGAACGTTGGAATCAAGCCCACTCTCTGTGACCGTCTTGTAATCCAGTTCCTGAGAAAGGTGGGTCCACAGGACTCCAGGGCACTGCTGATGACAGCACAAGCTCATCGGCAGGGCAGGATTTGGAGAGCAGACCAGTCATTGGGACAGTCACTTCCCACTCAGCTCTCATTATCCCTGCAAGCCAAAGCCCTAACAGGTGGTAGAGTGATCCTGGCTGGACAAGCAGCGGAAAAGCTTGCCAGGCAGTGCTCTCAATGGCAAACTATGTGTTTTTTTAGCTGGTTAGACTCCCAGCAGTGCCCCAATGCACACAATGGGGTTCCCAAGCCTTGGCTCTTGCCAATCTGTGCCTAATACTTTCCGGAATTAGATAAGCAGGATGTGCCCCTCCAAGGAGAGAGTTTGCATTCTATTTCAACAACTATCTCTGGAATTTCCATGTATAGGTGGGAGACACAGAACTTTCAGTTTGGTTTGCATACTCTTAAGCATGGTGATGGGTTTCTGCATGTTTCAGACAAAAAAAAAGGAAAATAGAGAGAGGCTGACCAAAAAAATAGAAAAATAGAGAGAGGCAAAAAGAGAAATAATGACATGGAGCAAGAGAGAGAATGGCAAAGAGAGTAGCACCAAGGGAGAGAGGAGTATAACAAAAGAATGACAGTGAAAGTGGTGCAGTGTGAGGAAGAGAGATAGAAAAAGAAAGAAGGGCACAGAGAGATAGACAGAGTAATATTACTATATTACTAGTAATATTTATGAACAAAAATATCATCAATTAGATTCCATATTTAACTTATATTTCCATGTCAAATCATTTAAATCAACATTTCAAAATCAAAATTACACTAATGAGGTTCTCTTGATGTTTACAAAGTACATAATTATAATGTACTGATATTTGAACATTTTGTACATTATGTAAATAGGAGTAATACCAAAATCCAAACCTTGCGTAGTGGATGGGAGTAATTTGGACAATTGCTGTAATTTTCATGTTTAGGGGAACTGGATTCAACACCAAAATAGGAGGATCGAAGATCAGCTCTGGGGTATGTATAGTGCCTGATACAGTAATTGTTCTGAATGGATAGGTTTTCTCTTCATTGATAAACATAGGTATCTTACTTATGTATTCGCCAGGACACTCTGAAAAATATGCCAGCACAAGAATCACCTTTCCACATAATATAAGTACAATTCATTGGGAGATTCTAAACTGTAAACAAGCAAATGAAGTTCACATACTCAAATTTTATAGAACCATTTGCCTGACCTCAATAAGTAACACTGATGGAATCAATCGTTAGAAGCAAAATGGAAGATTATTGATATGAAAATAACCAAATAAATGGCAGCTTAAACTGTTCCTGAAATGGATAGGTTTTGTCCAACCAACCTCGTAGACTTTTGAAAAATTCACAACCTACATTTACAGTATCAAGCTATACAAGCTACATACAAAGCAAACAGATAAGGAAGTACCAGGAAATGAATGGATTTTTAGGTGTGTAGGACCTTGAAATCGACCCCTGGGAGCCGAGTAGCCAGTGGAGACTGGTGAGCACTGGAATGAAGAATGTGCAGTATTTTGTGTGGGTGAGAATCGGCAAGGAGTTTTGGATAAGTTGCAGCTTGTGAATTGTGGAGCAAGGCAGACCAGCGAGGATTAGGTTGAAAAAATCATGATGTAAAAGTAGGTGTGGGTAAGTGTTTCAGCAGCATTGGGTGTGAGATAGGGATGGAGGTGCATGAAAAGATTATACCAAGGGTTAGATATGGACATAGATTGGCAACTTTTTCCAGGAAAGGAAAAATCAAACTTTATATATGGTTGAGATGGTTATTAAATGTACTGTAAAAACCTACTTGGGCAGAAGCAGATAGTCATGCAATGTCCTTGGCCTGGTTGAAGACTCCCATTGTGCTGATGGAATCTGAAAATACCTTCTTCAAGGGCCTCATCGTTTTGACTGTCTAAATCTAACATCCACTGGACAATTTTGTTAGATGTGTTTTTTATTGTAATTCTCTAAGCAATTCAAAAACAAAACAAAATAAGAATTAAAGCAGGATAACAAATATATACACTGTAGTTAACTGACAATTTCTAGATTATTTTGTAAATAAATACTGCTTTGGGATTAATAATTGTAAAATAATTAACATACACCATGATAAACATGCTTCACAATATGGTTAAATTACTTGCTTAAAAGTTTTAATGTACTGGACAACAATAAGAAACATTAGCTTCTCTGAAACTAATATGATTCTTCATACTGATTTTTCTACATGATTTAAAACATCAGCCTTTAAAAATTAATCTGTCACTTTATCAAGAAAGACATTCCATATATTGCACCTCTACAAATGGCTTTGCTCCCAAAACTCCAAAGTCATTGTATCCGGGAAGATAAGAGAATTCCACCTTGGAAGCTGACATTTCCAGTGGTGACCTAAGTGCTGAAAAATAAATATAACTGTAACAACAACAACAAAATTACATTTGTATAGCGCTTTTCACATCGGGAGGACTTATGTATACATTACCAAATTTACTGTTGAAACACATAAACAAACCTTGTAACAGTGTTTCACAAATGTAACTTTGCAGATTGTAACATATTCTATTTTGTCCCAAGCAATATGCCTCTCATAAATGGTCAAAATTTCAAAATCTTAAAGAGGTGAAAATTATTGTCATCCAAAACACATTCCATTGCTTATTTAATGGATTGGAGTAAAATGTGTTTGGAAATATCCTTCAACTTCTGAACAATTGTTGCAAAAAAGACTAGGTAATGCTGGAAGTTGTTATGAGGTGAAGCAATATTAAGAGGCCTCAATGCTAGATCCAAAAAACAGCATGAATCTTCAAGAATCTCTTTGGTCCCTACCACTATCTTACTGGACTGCCACGCTATTAGGCATTTCTGCATTGTTGCATGGAATACCTGAGTAACTCAGTAATATCAGCATAACTTAGTAATGAACCAAATAATATTCTGTGCAATGACCCAAAAGCAAGTGCAGAAGACTGAAAAATTCCTGACTTTTAATTTCCACATGCAAAGTGCCAGACAGAACCTAGGTACCTCCAACAAGGCAGCACTCCACTTGTACCACACTGTGATGCTTTAAATCTAATGATAAATTAAAATCTCAGCATAGAGTCTGAACAAACACCTTATGATCCAGAAAAAATAAAGCCAATCCATTACGAAAAGGATGAAGAAGGATTTATAATACCGTGATAATATCATCCTCCCGACTTAAAAGGCGCTATATCAAACTCGAAGATTATTATTATCAGCTGCAGATGAATAGCTTGACAAAACTCAAACCGTAATCCAGCATGTCTCACGCCTTCCAGTGAAAAGGGGAGAAAAGTGGCACAAAAAATCTTCTTTGTTAAAAACATTTAACTTTTTTTTGGTTTTACAAAATAATATTTTACAGTACATAACAGCATTTACTCTTGGTTTTAAACCTACCTATGGCTTGTACTCTTCGAGAAGGAGTAGGCTGGTTCAATATCTGCACCCGAGGGCAGAGTAGAAATTTGTCATCATGTGGACTACATGGTACAGAACTCGGAGGAGGAGAAGGTGAAGCAGAGTTGTTGATGATAATTGGCAGATTAAAATTATAGGATGCCAACTAAAAGCAAATAGTTTAGGTTTAATTGCCAAATATAACAAAATAAATATTTCTAAATAGTTTACTTCTTTTTTAAAGAAAACTTTAGTTGAATTATGATTGTATTGAGTGGAATATTATTTACCTCTCAATATTCTCGAAAGAAACTAAAACATAAAAACAAGTTAGATTACTTCATTCTTTGTCTAATAATATTTGTGTAGTGCTCAAAGAATTTTGAAATTAAAATAATCTATGAATGCTAGCATGGAAGAAAAAACCCCTAATACATGAAAATCATTTCTTTTATCTATTTTACCATATAAAATACCTATTTTTATATGTAAACAAAGTGAGGTAGGATTTCTCCAGAGCTATATTTAAGTACACACAATGTGGAAAGTTAAGGCATAGTATAAAAAGTAAATTAGAGGCATAGATAGAACGGTGGCTGAAAGATAGAAAGCAAAAAATAGGGTCAAATGTATATTTCTCCAATGTATGCAGGTAATGGCTTGTCCCACGAATCTGAGCTGGGTACTCTTTTTGTTTTCCTTTTATGTTTATAGTTTGGAAATAGGGGAAATAATGTCTAAATTTGCTGATGATATCAAAAATGTGCAATTGTCTCACAATTTCTTAAACACATGTACAAATAAAAATTTTAAATTTCCTATTTAACCCCAATAACAAATAAGAGGGTATAGGAAACTGGGAAGAATGTAGGAAACAGCAAGAGTTAGGCTCAGTTGGTATGATTCATGCACCTGTGTCAGAAGGGTGTGAGTTCAAATCCTGTACATAAGAATACAAGTACATAAGAAATGCTCGACAAAAAAAAGGCCAAGGTCAATCTAGTTAGCTTTCCATCTTCCTGGCGGTCGAGTGCACATATGTCTCAAACTACCTTTGTACTATATTGCATAATATATTAGGACTTTCACCGGGCTGACACTCCAATGCAGTATTAGAGCAGTGTTGCATAGTCGGAGTCCCATCTTTCAGATGAAATGTTAAACTGATACTGTGTCTTCAGCTGGACACTAAAGATTCCATGCACTATTTTATAAAAGGAGTTTCTCCCATTATCATAGCCAATATTTCTTCATGTAAAAAATTGGATGGTCTTTTGTGGCTATTTCTGTGTGCAAATTGTCTTTCACGCTTGCCTATAAATGTATTGTCACTACACTTAACAGAAAAGTTCTGCGAGGTGTTTCGACGTGATAAAGAATTATATCAATTGCAGGGATTATACCCGTTCAGCAGAGGTGGCCAAAGCAGTTTAACCACATGTGGTTGTTAGGAAGGAACCGGGGTGGATGTGGTGAGGATGAAGGGTAGATAGAATAGGGGAAAATGGAAAAAATACTTCATTAATAATAATGACTAATCATTGCATTTGATATAACGCTTGATCATGCCAGTGAGTTATTGCAAGGTGCATCACAGAATTATTACCGTGAAATGAAGTAACTATATTTTGTAGGCAAATGAGGCAGCCAATTTGTAAACAGTAATATTCCAGAAACAGCCATGGTGCAAAAGTTCATATAGGTGACAGATACAGTTTAAGGTTGAGAAATCTGAAGTACTGTCCTGCATTTTGGAAGAACAAAGAAAGAAGGAACACCACAAATCATAATGTTCTTGAAAGAGATTGAGAAATAAAGATCTAGAAGTTTAGATACCTAGATGTTTAAAAGCCAGAGTGCACATAGAAAAAGCCATAAAACTTATTGAGGGTTTTTATATATAGGGGTATTCAATATAAAAGCAAGGAAATTATTAAATTGATGCTTTGTTGTAACATGTTCAGTAGTCCATAATTGTGCAGAGTTAATAAGAGTGAATTTCACACAGGTTATTATAACATTGAATGCTTTGCCCCAAGTGGCTATTGAAGTTTATACCTTGACATTTAATTGTGATAGTTTACAATTTGAGGAGAAACAAAATAAACAAGTACGGAAAAAACCTGGAAATTGGGATAAGAGTATTTAGCTCTAGTGGAGGTGCTAACTCCAGTATAGGCTTGATGGACTAAACAACTGCTTTCTGTGCTGTAATTTATAACAACACTAATAATCCTTGCATTTGATATATTACCTTTCACTTCAGGAGGACATCTCAAAGCCCTTCACAGGATTTACTGTTAAGTATGGTGCTTTGTGGGAGATATTTTCTATGACTCAAGATGGTGTAAGTGCGTTTATTAATAATTAGTAAAATGTAACAAAAGCAAATCTGCAGTTCCCTCATCCCAGGTGCACAAATTGTAACTATATAATAATAATAATCCTTGCATTTGACATAGCGCTTTTCACATCGGGAGGACGTCCCAAAGCGCTTCACAGAACACACTGTAAAGTGAATTGACTGTATATTTGTGGGCGAACGCGGCAACCAATTGCGCACAGCGAATGTCCCACAAACAGTCGTAGATTGAAAATGAACAATTTATTATTGTTTTTGGTTTTGGAGGGATTATTATTAGGCTCTGTGTGGAGTAAGGAAACTTGCCCAAGGTTTCGCCCTCTGCCTGGAATTGAACTCAGGTTTCTCGCTTGCAAAGCGAGTGCTCTAACCACTGAGCTACAGGACTCTATATCCTTTCCTACTCATGGTTTAAATTATAAAAGTCACTGCTGCCCTCCAGTGGTTTCAATGGACATAAATTGGTAAATAAATGGGTTCATTTTTTGAACAATTCAGTTCTAAATTTCTAAAATAAAATTTTAAACATACGTTGTGGCAATGCAGACAATGCAATAAAAATCTACATGTTGCAGTTATTTTATCATCAAAGAAAAGCTACGAACAAAATATCTTTCAAATGATATCCTATATATAAGCACACTAACATGCTCATGTCCACTTATCCTTGTTTTTCGATAAGGTCAGTATAAAAAGGCTGATTCCACTGGTTGGGGAGTCTATAACCAGGGATAAGATAGCACCTAGAGAATCTAAAAAAAGAATTTAGAAGGAACTACTTCCCACAGAGGAAAGTGAGATTGTGGAACTCATTGCCTGAAGTAGTGGTTGAATCAGATAGTATAGATGCATTCAATCTTTACATAAGGGAGAGGGAAATAAAAGGGAATGGGTGGGAGTAAGGAATGGGTGGAAACTCGTGCAGAGTATAAATACTGCCACCGCCATTGTTGGACCGAGTGGTTTGTGTGCTTTACATTCTTTGGAAATCTTTGTAAAATCCGAATTAGGTTCTGATTAGGAAGTAAAGTTGAATGGCAAAGCTGGCAAGAACATTAGTTTCAAGCATGTACATAATGTTACCAAGACCCACTTACCCATGACTATGAACCAGCAACATCAAGTGGGAGTCATTCAGAATTTGCAACGTTTTATTAGAAAGTCAAAACAAGAGAAAATAATGAAATAGATTGTTGTAAAATAGAGATAGAAAGTTAATCAGAGAAAGAAAGTAAGAGAGGCAGAGCATCAGAGTTTAACGTGTTGTGTTAAAGCACTGTTAAGTAGCTCAAATCTGGTCTTGAACATAAATTTTGTTTGCCTGCACATTTAACCCACACACCAGTTTTATAGTCATAATGAACTCATTCATGAATGGCAAAGGAAAGAAAAAAAAGCACAGTGGACAAGATTTGTTTTAAATTACTTACTTCTGTAGGTGTGAACAGTAATTCACATTTGATTTCTTCTTTGGCTTTTAGATTCACATCACAGATGTGTGGATCAAATGGATCGTTACTTGAATCTAAGGTCAAAAATGTATAAATATTTTTGAGTCCTCAAGAATGCTAAACACAGTAACAATACGAATGATTTGTATATGTTGTCTGTAGTTTCATCTATTTATATTACTGATTATGAAATACCATTGATAATGTTTAAACACAAATGAAAGTCCACTTTATTACCACCATAAATAATAGAAATGTAATGAATGTAATAAAACACTGCTGAATAAGACAACTATTTTAAGTAATAGAGCATTACAAAATGGCTGACACACACTTCAACAAGTTCCAATTTATTTAACTTATCCCACTGCCCACAATCTTCACCAGCACCAAACCCCGCACTTCATATCCCAGTCCTCAACAATGTCCACTTGCTATCTGGCTCCCAGTTGATTCATTTCAAAGTCCTCACCCTCACATATAAATCCTTTCATGTCCCACCGCCACCTCTCCCTTCCTTGTCCAACACTAACTTTGTACAGCTCTCAGAGATGTTAACCTATATTTAGGGCATTACATAAAAGCAAATCGTTGTTGTTCAACCCCTCAGTGTTTTCACCCATGGAAAATTGTCACTGTGCAGTTTACATAAACAGTCAATAATAGGGCCTTTAAATAGCTGTTGTCGGTAGCAATACATCTGGAAGACCTAAGGAAGTAAGCCACATTCTGAACTGTTTTGGTTGCATTATTATAGGAAAAAGCATGTGAATTGTAAACTCTCACAAGAATCAGGGATAGATAGAGATGAAAGCAAGAACATTCTTTTGAGATAAAGGTGAAATGGAAGGATAGTTTTGCCATATGTTCCTCAATGATAAGAATGACCATTTCTTAAGGCATTTATTAAATGTACATCAACAATGTGATATTTTAAAAAATGGCACTGATAGGTTTAAGATTTAATATGTACCTGCAGAGTCTTCAAACTTCAATGCAAAGTCTTTGTTGTCAGACAGATTAAAATGAGTTATCATTCGTGATCCAGTCAGATTCAGTAAAGTGAAAGGAATAGTATAGGTAGCACCAAGGAATACACCAGGAAACTTGAAATATTTCTGCAGATAAAAGGATGAGTTAATTATTGGTAAATGGCACAGATTACAAAAAATAAAATAATGGTCAAAGTAAGTAACCAAGTATAACATTTTTCTTATATTTTATATTTGGCAACAGAATGTCAAAATCGAGTCAACCCTCTGTGGTGGTTTTGGTAGTCCGGTTCCTGAGCCAGGCGGGTCCACAGTATTCCAGGGCACTGCTGATGACACAGCTAGCCTGGCACATTGACAGGACCTGGAAGGCCAGATCAGTCACTGGAGGCAGGGAATCGTCCTAATCAACTCCTGTTAATCATAGAAGCCAAAACCTTAATAGATAGTGTGATCCTTGCTGGACAAGCACCGGGAAAGCTTGTCAGAAAGTCATATCAATGGCAAGTTATACAGTTTTAGCTGGCTGGATTCCAGCAGTACCCCAAAGCAACTCTGGAGTCCCCAAGCCTTGGCTCTTGCAACCTGCGGTAATACATTCTGGAATTTGGTCCGCATGATGTGTTCCTCCAGGGAGAGAGTGTGCATACCATTCCAACAATCTATCTGGAATTTCCACGTGTAGGTGGGATGCATGGAACTCTTAATTTGGTTTGCATACTCTTAAACATGGTGATGGGGTTCTCCATGTGTCAGACAAAAAAAGAAAAGCAGAGAAGCTGGACCAAAAAAAACAGAGAGGCAAAAAGAGGTAGACTACTGTGGAGGCATTTTGCAACAAAATCGATGGACCTTAGAGAGCAATACAAAGATTCCAACAAGTATTTTTTCCCCATGTACTGAAAATTAATTCAGCATAAACCAGGTATCAAACTGGCTTAAACCTTTCTATTCTATATGATTCCATATAAGGGTATTTTGTGAATTTGTCAACTTCGACAATTTAGTGGGATCTCAAATTTTGTTTAAACTTGAATATGGTGCTTGTTTGATAGATATGGCCCATTTTTACAATTTAAAATTTGGAACAAAAAAATCTAGCAAACTACTAACCACACTGATGTCAGCCTGAGGTGGCTCCACTGATCCTCCAATCCGTAATTTCAATGTACTTGAATTTCGAATCTCTACCTAAGCGAAAGTAATCAACATATAATTGGACAACTTAATTTCACCATATTTCATATAAATTAGTGAAACTTTATTACAATGCAATTTTACACTATTATTCATTTCAATTTTACCTTTACTCTGATGTCAAACTTGAACACTTTAGTTGGGGTGAGGTCAATTTTGAGAATTGCATGACCACCAGCAGGTATTGTCCCAGAAACAGGATATACAGTCAGCCCAGGAAGAGGATTCTCATTTTTGATCTTTTAGGAGAGAAAAAAATCTATCAAGGATCATGAACATATAACTTAAGTTTATTAAAGAAGTTCATAAAAATTTTTGCACCATCTAAAGTAATACTACATAGCAAAACAAATTATCACATTTTATGCTATTAACAATTGAGTGCTATCAATGAGCATTCATGTCAAAGTGCGCACTAGCTTCCCTTAGATACCAGCCAACAATACATCTAGGCAAACGGTTTCTCCTCCCGCCCCTGCCCAGTCACTTGCGGGGTAGCCCAAGGCCCCATTCTTCGCCCCCTTCTTTTCCTCATCTACATGCTCCCTCTCGGCAATCTTATCCGCAGACTTGGGGTCAACTTCCACATGCATGCAGGTGACACCCAAGTCTACTTCTCCTCCTCCGGCTGCGACTCACAGTCCGCTGATGTTCTGTCAGCTTGATTTGACGGACATCAAGTGCCTTCAGCTAGTATGCCCCAAGACTCTGTAACTCTCTCCCTCAATCTCCCCGCCTTTCCCTCCCTTCCCACCTTCAAATCTCGCCTACAGATCTTACTTTTTGATTGTGCTAAGAGTTCCATGTATCCCACCTACACATTGGAAATCCCAGAGATACAATGTTGGAATGGTATGCACACTCTCTCCTTGGAGGGACACATCCTACGTACCTAATGACCAATCATGTAAGTATTTCCAGTAGAGAACAGGTATAAATATGAATAGTAACTGCTTAGTAGTAACCCAGCTACTTAAAGTAAGATACCTTAAAGTAAGCATGATTTTGTCCAAGGTTTTTGATAATAGCTCCCTTCACAGTACTTAAATTCCATGGGGCTGCATTAAAAAGCACATGTTTCTCAAGAAACTGGACAGTGGTAGGGCCAAGCTTCAAAATAAGAAAAAGGATTTCAAAATATTTTTCACGATACTACATTCTACAGACATTTCATTACCGTAAATGTAATCACATTACTGTAAAAGTTCAATATATTAGTACACTCTGTTTAAATTATTTAAAAAGTTGCTGGCCTTGGGACTTACAGAAGTAAGCAAATGTATTTAATGTTTAAAATCAAAGAATATGAGCATTATTGAGTACTGTAGGTCACTTTTATCATACCAAGGTGCACTTACAGCCAGATAATACTGTTGTAATCACTTATTATATTCTATTAGGACCAGTTCCATTGTAGGTAAGCAAACAGTGCATACTGGTCATCATCATGTAAAATTCAAATTAGCTACACTGCAAACTATGAGCACTGGGAGTCATATCAAAACATTATCAAAACACCCTGTCCAAGCCTTTCTCTTTCTCTGCCACTCTCTGTCTCTTGGCATTTCTTTCTTTCTCCGCGTCAGAATTTCTCCCTCCTCATCTGTCACAATCTCTGCCTGAATCTCTTGCTCTTTTTAGTTTTTTCTGTCTCTTCTCTTTTTCGCTCTCTCAAGCTTGCACTTTCCAGATCTATGTCTTTCTATATATAAATGTGTCCATCTCTCTGTCTAGGTGTTTTTTATCTGGTTTCCTAACTCTGTCCAACCAAAGTTGTGTGTAAGTGTGTCAGCTTACAAGGCCAATCTTTTCCCACACAGCAGACCGAATTGTCCACTTCCTCATCAGAGCCCAGTGCAGTTAAATGGACAAACAGATAGATTTTGTTCAGTTAGTTGGCGTTCTACTAAAGCAGCACTGAATCCTTATGTGACTGTACATGACTGGTGTAACAGTTATGAAATACATTCAAATGTATCTGAAAAATGAAATAGATAGGCTGAGAAATAACAGATAGAATTTAATGCGATTGCAAAATAACCATGCAGTAAGGTATGGAATGTAGATATGGAAATCCCCATAAAAGGTTTTCTTTCGACATGGAGTACAAAAATAGACATTACATGTATGTCTCTGTATGAGGTTTTGACTCAATTTATGAGATCAATATTTTTGTTGGTCTTTAAATACTTGCAATTCAAGCTTCACTTACAAGTGGGGCCTTCCAGAGTTAAAGCTGTGTTGCAAATTAAATTCTTAATAAGAAGAATTATTAATAATTATTGTTTCACCTTTTGAGTTCTAATGAGCATTAAAGCATTTCATAGACACTTATTTATTAGATGAATTTTTTATTATTATTGAAATTTATATAAAAATTCAAACAAGACCGTTTAGAAAGAATCACGCAAATTAATTAGCATTGTACCTTGGCGATGCATTTCAGTCTGATTTTGTTGCCCTCATGTACAAAAAGATCAAGCTCTCCTTCGATTGGGGAGAAGAATGATGGATGCCAAACCACTTCACACTCCAGGTCCATAAATGCATCAACAGTGCCTGCATTGAATAAGATATCCTTNAAAAAAGGCTTTCCTTAAGAATTGACTTGAGTAAACATAAATTAAATTTGAGATATAATAAGTATATTCTCTTTCTCGTCTCCCACCTTTGTATTTCCTCCATAGGTAGAAAAGTCAGCCTGAGCCACACAACTCCCCACAACTGTATGTTCCTGCTAGTTTAGCATATTCATAAACTATACAGCAGTGGGCACTTTATTGTTAAAAAGTTGCAGGAAATCTGAGCATGTGATCAGCGCTGTGTAGATTGAAACTATTTTTTGCTAAGGTTCGGTTCTTAAGCATACTTTTTATTTAACAAATACACTCATATTTCACCATCTCAGTACCTGTCCTCAATTCTCTAGTAAAACTGTAAACAAATATATTATTATTTAATCCTTTTTCTTTACAGTAATTCCATTCATTGAAATCCGAGCTGTAGATGTTGATGGTAAGAGTAGGCAAGGGTGACACAAGGGCAGCCGAAGATCCAATTCAGCAAAAGAGCCACAGTGGCTGCAGCAGAGGTAAAAAAAAGTTCAACACAAAATAATAAACCTTGCATTTGATACAGCGCCTGATCACGTCTTCAAGTCATCTTAAAGAACTTCACAGAATGTACTGTAAAATGAATTGACTGTATATCTTGTGGGCGAAATTCATGGCTGTTTATGGGGAATTACGGGACGCAAATAGGTTTTTAAAATTTAATTTCAGCATTACATAAATTTTTAGCATTTTAACAACAGTACAATCCTGTAGGGTATTGGTTAGAGCACTCGCCTCGCAAGCGAGAGGACCTGGGTTCGATTCCTGGGCAGGGCAAAACGTTGGGCAAGTTTCCTTACTCCACACGCCTAACAGTAATAATAAAAATAAATATCCTTGCATTTGATATAGCGCCTTATCATGTCTTCAAGACGCCTCAAAGCGCATCACAGAATATACTGTAAAGTGAATTGAATGTATGTTTTGTAGGCAAACGCGGCAGCCAATTGGGCACAACAGGGTCCCACAAACAGTCATGGATTGAAGTGACCAATTTATTATTATTTTCTTTGAAGGAATTATTACTTCCGGAAAAGCGAGCTACCCATCGACTAACAATCAGGTTCCTACTTATTGCTAGGTAAACAGAGGATTATGGAGTAAGGAAACTTGCCCAACATTTCACCCCTCAGGAATCAAACCCAAGTCTCTCGCTTGCAAGGCGAGTGCTCTAACCACTGAGCCACAGGACTCCACAGTAAATACTTAACCCAGTAAGTAGGAACATGGTTGTTATTCGATTGGCAGATCGTTTTCCGGGGATAATATTCCCATCAAAAAAAATAATAATTTGGTCACTCAATCCATGACTGTTTGTGGGACACTGCTGTGCGCAAATGACTGCCACGTTTTGCCCCCGAAATATACAATCAATTAATTTTACAATATAGTCTGTGAAGCGCTTTGGGACGCTTTCAGTACCTTTAGCAGGCCGGATGGAGAATGCTATTCCTTTTTCTGTTATTACTGGGACCCAGGTGAATTCAGCTGGGCTGTTTTTGCGATTGTAAAGCTTAACTGTAGTCCTGAATCCAGTCTCTGGTAGAAATCCAAAGTTTGGCTTCACTACCACCACATTGCTTGACAGCTCGAGAGCAAGATTCACCACCTTTGCCATTAGTAGCACTTCAGCACTGCTGCAGCCATTTATTTTGCATTTAATTGATCTGCAAAATAAAATTATTTAATATTGTACTTAATATCTTATTCAAAGTGAGAAGCAATGATGAAACAAACTTTTTTTGATCAAATTCCCTTTACTAGCCACTGTTGGAAATTCAAAATGGCTTGTCTCTAACAAACGATTATATAGTACTTTTAACATGCAACTTCTTTAACGTAGAAACAATGTAAATTTGCACAATAAATAAGTGAAAATACAATAAGCAATATAAAATTGCACCATAAACAAATGAAATATCCAGACCTTCATAACGTATTCTTAATGTGTCTAATATGTGGGAATTTCCAACAGGATTTCCTAATAAGGAATCTGCAAGTGAACACGAAGATTCACAGGAACTCAATCCTAATACAACGTACTTATAAAATGTGATATTTTGTAAAGCGCTTTTCATGTCGGAAGGACGTACCAAGGCGCTGAACAGTCAGAGATTAGGACCAGGGAGTGGAGGCAGACGGAATGGCCGAAGGCAGGATCGAAGAGGAGGGTCTTGAGGCATGCCTTGAAGGAAGCAAGGAAGGGAACGAGGTGAAGGGAATGTGGGATTGAGTTCCAGACGGTGGGGGCAGAGAAGCTGAAGGGCCGGGCAGAGGCCATGGAGCAGGCCTGCTGAGCGGAGGGAGAGGATAGGTTGATAAGGGGTTAGCAGTTCGGAGAGGTAGGAGGGGGCAAGGCCACGGAGGGCCTTGAAGATGAGAATGAGAATTTTGAACTCGATCCTCTGAGGGTTGGGGAGCCAGTGGAGCCGGGTGAGGGTGGGTGTGATGGGGTCACGGAACCTTGTGCGGGAGAGGACACGAGCTGCATGGTTCTGGATGATCTGGAGCTTGTGGAGGGAAGAGTAGGGAAGGCCAAAAAGCAGGGCATTGGCATAGTTGAGCTTGGTTGTAATGAAGCCATGTATGAGGCTTCCAGCGGCCTGAGGGGTGAGGCAGTGGCAGAGTCGGGCAATGTTGTGGAGGTGGAGGAAGCAGACCAGGTCATGGCATGGATGTGGGGGAGAAAGGACAGAAGAGGGTCAACAAGACCCCTAGGTTCCTGACTGGCGTGAGGTGGAGTATGCATCCTTGGATGCTGATGCTACCAGTGCCTGAAGTGTGGAGGTGCTGGCACAAGCCAATCAGGAGGGCCTCAGTCTTGCTTCGTTCAACTGTAGAAAGTTGGCTCTAATCTAGGACTTGATGTGTGACAGACAATCATCAGGATATCAGTGGTCCTGGGGTCGAGGTTGGAAGGAGAGAGATAGAGTTAGGTGTCATCCGCGTACATGTGGAAGTTGACCCCATGTCTGCAGATGATGTCACCAAGAGGGAGCATGTAAAGGTTAAAGAGAAGAGGTCAGGACAGAGCCTGAGGAACACTGCATGAATGCTGTGGTGTTCCGAATAGTAAACTGATGGAACAGATTCCCTAGGGAGACGATTGAAGCAGGGAATGTTGATTCCTTCAAACACAGATTTTTGGGAAATAACATGGAAAATAGTAAATAGGTAGTTCAGGACATATGTGTATGTGACTGCCAGGAAGGGGGAAGGTGAACTAGATGGACCTTGGTCATTTTTTCATCTAGCATTTCTTATGTTGTTATGTTCCCACAAATCAATGTGACCGGTGCAGTGCACTTCCAATTATCAATCAGCTTCCTTTTAAAGTAAACCCACTGCAAATTAGACCCCTATATATTCAAAAAGCAAAGTATCTATTTTTCAAATAACTTAAATATATTCTGCAATTGTTTTAATATGTCTCAGGCTACAAAATAAATCACTATGACAGAAAAAAAGGAAAGGAACTTCTCTTGAAAACTCACTTGCGAAAATTTCCAGGTAGGTCAGTTTCGAATATCAACGGTAAGTAAAATGTAGATTGGGGTGGGATCACCTGAGATAAAGGACTGGTCTGATGCAGCTCCAAACAAGCAATTTCAATTTCAAAAAGAATGTACATAGGTAAACAGTTCACAATATTCAAGTTCTGCTTTGATATTGAATTTACACAAACTTCTCCAAAGTCGATTATCGATGGCCCTGAAATTTAAAAATGGCATTCCAGTTTGGAAGAACATACTGCAAAAATATACTGACGGTAAATCATTTCCACTGCAACAAATCAATTACAATTATACTTCGTGCAAAAGGAAGACCCGTGTTAAACCTAACAAAATATTTAAATTAATTAACAATATATATAAAAAAGATTTCACACATAAGATAGGGCTTCAAACTTTCATTTTAATCCATATTAAAAAGACTAATCCTATTGTGACACAATCATTCATTTGAATATAAAATAATTGATACATATATAGATATACAGTATTTTCAAAAAGTTCACAATTGATTACTGGACTATACATGTCAATGTCAAATTAATGTTCAACATACCAATGAGTATTTGGTGAAGCTCTTGAGGTGTCAGTACCTGCTTACAATCCTCCTTTTCTTGGGGTGTACTTGGAACAACATTAAGACCATCCATTGGCTGTTGTAAATCAATTAAAAAAAATACTGGTAATAGTTTTCAAGCAAAGATATAGCTCATAGTTACATGTTTACTTATATCAATGAAGTTTCACAGATGCCAACTTACTGATTCTTCTATGGATTTCATCTCCCTGGATAAAAGCTCATTTCTTGTTCTAAGTGCAATCATGGGAGATGGAATGGCATTTTCGACACATTTCTCATTGAAAATTTCTGAGTATGAAAGTCTTGGAGGAATGAGCCCTCCTGCTGGTTTCAGCCCTATGTCTACTGTATTGTTGAACTCTTCAAAATCTCTATAATTAGAATGAAAGCATTATTTCAAAAACCATACCAAGCTCAAAATTTGAAAACATGTTAATTCATAAGTTACAAAAAATATCTCTGAGCAAAACAAAAATATTATCCTGTTAAAATTTTACATTTTTTTCATACTTTTCTTTGTGTTACTACCCTTACATCCTACTGACGTGAAAAGCGCTATACAAATGTAAATTGTTGTTATTGAAATAAGATTTGTTTAATGAAAAAGTTATTAGTTTCTAAATAGCAATTTGTTTATAGAATACAATCTTAAATTCCCCAAACACGTAAAAATATTAACTTAAGGAATAAATTAAACCATATTCTCCCTCACTAGGTAAATAGATCAAGAAGGGCTCATTAAGTATTTCTCTCCTTTTTGCCAAAGCAACCATTCATAAAACCTGTTGATTACCTGCAACTTTCATTGTGTAAGCGTCGTTCTTTCAGACCTTGAATATAATCCATGTAATACTTTCTGTGTGCATTTATTGCTTCTATTTCCTTTTCCATGTAAGCGTAGTCAGGATCCACATAGGTATAACGTTTAATTTTGGAGGAAACAATCCTTAAAAAAGTACACATATGACTTTACAAGCAATCTGCTGGATAATATATCAATATGAAACAATGAATATATATAACTATTACAAGGCTACAATCCAATCATGGTATTCAGATTACATAAAACATATAACCATGATTTGAAAGAACCATTAAAACATATCAGGGAAGAGAAAAAACAAAAGAGAAAAGTTGGCAGCGAGAGAACTGTGAAATGGAGGTAGACACATTAGAAGAAGTTAAACAGGATAATATTGCAAAACTGAAGAAATCAAGATGAACATGGGCAAAAAAGGGAAATTATCAGACAAAATTAATTCAAATTAAAATACTAATTTGTTAATGTGCAGTGCAAAATGAAATAGTTTTGAAATTATAGTGACAAATTAAAATAAAAAATCATAGTAAAATAGCAGCAATTGAAAAACGGATGTAATTGTAACAGCACTGGCAATAAAATGTTGATCCACTGGGAGATAATAATAATAGAAGCAGAATCCTTGAATTTGGTATAATGCCTTATCATATCGAAAGGATGCCTCATAGGGCTTCACAGGATTTACTGTGAAATGGAGTGATTTGTAGGAAAACATGGCAGCACAATTACATGCAGCAATGTCCCACAAACAGCTAAGTGACTAATTTCTATTTTATTTTGGGGGGATTGTTGCCAGGACACAGGGAGAAACTCTTTTCTTTCGAATAGTAGATTGGGATATTTAACATCAACCTGAACAGACAGATGGGACCTTGATTTAATATCTCATCCGAAGGGAAATATGGATGGGAAACAGTAGATCCTGGGGAAAATCTGGGTGGTGAACATGCTTAAACACGTTTGATGTGGGTTTCGATAAGCTGGAGTTTCTGAATGTTGGGGGTGGGGGTGCGAGTAGATAGGGCACTGGGTAAAATCAGTCTGGATGCAACAAAGTGTGGATATCGGTTTCGGCCACTTTGGGTATGAGGTAGGAACAGAGGCAGATGATGTAGTAAAGATGAAGAAACGCAGTCTTGGTCAGGGACTGGATCCTAAGATGAAAAGAGTGCTGATGTAAGAGTATTAAGACAAAGGGTATGGCACATCGAATTAAGGTTAATATGTACACAAATTCAAGAGAGTTCGGAAAGCTGACAGCCTGGACAGAAACACATCTGATTAAGTTATTAGATGGAGATACATATATCATTGGACTTTCGTGGGGAAAAAAATGGTCTACTTCTGCCAAAAATTGTTACCACTACATTTTACAGAATTTACCTGCATTTTTCCTTCTTATCACAGGGTCTAATACATTCAGAATGGTCAATAGGAAATGAAATCAGCCCATTATTTTCTGATATTTTGTGCTCATTTTGATCGTAGGATTTAGATTCAGCTCCATCACTGGGTGCCATAGAGACAGATTTATTGTCAGCACTTCCATTGTTTTGATCGGTTTTCACATCATCAAATTGACCAGGTTCATTGGTAACAGCAGAGGGTATCACTTGAGATGAAAAATAGATAAATAAGCTTAATAATACAAAATAACTTGGCTTCCATCAGTTCTTTCGCATTTTTGTATTTTAAATTACAGAATGGATACATACGTGTGTTAATTTTAACTTTTTTTATACTTTACTCTGTTAATACTGAACAACTTATATAGCGCCCTTCACGCAGGATGGTGTCTCATAACTTGATAAGCAGGAGGTGACTCAATGGGAAATGGAGGTTAAAAGTGTGAAAGATGGGGTGTTAGGGGAAGATGAAGTGGGAGGATAAGGAAGCGGAGGCAGAGAAGCAGATCTTCACAATGGTATACATAAATTACCATTACAGCAAAAGCAAAGGGCAATTATTAATAAGTGAATATCCAAAACATTACATGTAAATTAACTGCAGCCTACCAGAATTGCAATTTGCTTCAATTTTCTTCATGACAGTTTTGCAAACACCTGATAAAAAGAGGTTTACTTGGTGGAAAGGCTGCATTGTCAATTGTAATGGATCATCCGAAACCACTACTGATCCAATGCAGTCTATCACTTGATTTACTTTGAATGTCCCAATTTGTTTTGGAACAAATGAGATCACAATATTCTGTTGGGAAGGAAAAATAGAAAGGAAGATAAAAATCAAACTGTTAAACAATTATACAGTCGTCGACATCAATGAATTTAAAATTAAATTAATATGGTTCTTATTGTACATGTGCAATTCCAGTTGGGATTTATAATGTAAATGTAAGTCAAAGTTTAAATCAACATACGAGTCATTTATTTTCTCATGTAATCTTAATCAATATAACTTACCTGTTAACTGTAGTATTATACAATTTTACAATATTTTGTCGCTTTAGGTGCTACAAAAATCACAAATTCTTCACAATTTACCTTTGTTTCACCTGGGATAATCGTTCCTTTTACAGGCATGACATGAAAATGTGCTATTCTGCGGAACTGGAAGTTGATTGGAAGCAACAATGAGTCATTTCGAAAATTACTCAAGACATCTACTTTTTCTCCAAGAAGGCATTCACTGAAATCAAATTCTGTTGTTGGACTTATGTTTAATCTGACAGGAAACCCAGTCCCTGTCAATGCTAACTCAACACATCGATAATCTGTAAAAAGAAAATGTCAGCAAAACGATAATAACTCACATCTTCAGATAAAATAAGAGTTAATGATATAATAAATACAAATAAAAAAGAAGCAATGGGAAATGACAGAGAACAGGTCAGGAAGAGAAGACATTGAAAACAACAACACAACAACTTGCAAGGTAGCACCTCAGAGCGCTTAACAGTGATGGAGCCTGACTCCGAGTTAGAAGGGTGGAGGTGACCGTAAGCACGGTCGAAAAGGAAGGTTTTCAGCCAGTACTTGAAAAACGGGAGAAAGTGGGCAAGGTGGAGGGATTAAGTGAGAGTGTTCCAGAGAAAAGAGTAGGAATGCGAAAAGTGATATAGACGGGTTTGAGGTGTGTGTACTTTAATACACAGAATAAAATCAAACTATTAAGCAATTATACAGTTGTCAACATCAAGCTATTTAAAATTAGATCATATATAAGATTAAATATGTTTTTTTAAGATTTTTATTCATTTCAATATTTACAATTAAATATCTCTCACTGCATGTTCAGTTGGGATTTCAATGAGAGTTTAGAGAGCTAAACCCACTAATTGCTATGGAGCATATGATCTTATAGAATTATGTGAGACGTGGCTTAGTCAAAGATAAGACTGAGAACTAAATAATCCTGGTTACAAAATTTCAAGGAAAGAAAGGAAAAGAAAGGAGGATGGATTGTAGTATTAACTAAAGAGTCCATTGCAGTTTTTGAACACAATGAATTGTGTAAAAAAAATAATTGGAATAAAAATGGGTGTGCACTATAGATGACAGATCAAGGATTTTTTTGATAAATCCAAGATATGTGAAGAAATAATACATAATTATTCGCCCACAAATATACAGTCAATTCACTTTCCGTATATTCTGTGAAGCGCTTTGAGACGTCTAGAAAGCGTGAAAAGCGTTATATCAAATGCAAGGATTATTATTATAATAATGGGTGACTTTAAGTATCCAAAAAGAATGTGGGATAAAGGTAATGTAAATTGGCCAAACATTAGTGGTTTTCCTGCAATATGCCAAGGTCTGCTTTGTAGAATAGTACGTTTCTAGCCCCACATTAGGTCTTTGAACTCACAGTCTAGGCTGACACTCCAATACTTTGCTGGGAAAACAATGCACTGATGGAAGTGCCATCCTTCAAATGAGATGTTAAACCAAGGTCTACCTTTTCAAGTGGACATTAAAGATCACATAGCACTATTTGAAAAGTTAAGGAAGTTTCTCCCAGTGACCTGGCCAACAATCTCCCAGAAGATAAAATTAGTCCTTCACTTTAGGGCTGTTTATGGTTCACTGCTGTGCGCAAATTGATTTCCGCGTTCGCCTACAAAATGCACAATAAGTACAAAAGTCTTGACACGCAGAACTGTACCTGATAAAGACGAGTATGCATTACCGTTTTTACAACTATTTCAATCATTTTAAACAAATTGAATATGGTACCTTTTATTGCAGGGTATCCATTGGATGGTGTTGGTACGTTTTTGTTACTGTGCACAGTCATAAATTTTATGTAGAGGGCATAATCTTGGCGTTTTGGTATTTCATCTTCTTTTGGATAAAAATCTGTATAACTTTAGAAACAAAATCAAGATCTTTCTTGATTATTGCAAGTATGACATTTATTATAGACCACATATTAAATTGAAAATTTCCTGTATCATTCTACTCAAAATTTCCAGATCAATACGCTGCAATTATTATCTGGTTCAAGCAATACTTCATAAAAATCATCTCATCCCGGAGTATTTCTATCTAAAATACCTTGAATTGGTAGATTTTTAAAAAGATACATACACACATTATATCAAAAAGGAAAGCATCAGTCTTGTAAACACTGGCATAATGAAGAAAAATAATGAAGTTACTTACAGAATTGCGCAAGAGTGATAACAATGCAGTAATCTTATTGCAGAAATTGATCATATCATAAAACAAAATGAAGCTCTTTTTGTGCTGTCAACTGCACTTCAAAATTAGATTATAGCCCTAAAAGCAATCTTCCCTAGTGGCCACTATTCCAGCAAAAGTCAAAACAGATCAAAAATTTCAGGTTCGCAACCCATTTTTGAAGAGTTAGCTGAATTTCAGTTGGGGCAATGACTAGAAAGTTACAATTGGCTTTAGTGCCAGCAAACTTTAATGATGATCATTGCAGAAAATTTCACGCTGCAATGGTGAATTGAAAATTGATTGAAAGTAGAAAATCTACGCTCTTTTACTTTGTTACGTGTTCCCTATTCCAGCATACAATGCATAGAAATGCAATTGTGATACAGCAGCTAAGATCATTCATGAATGAATTGTTTCACCATAAAATAGAAACTTACAGCACAAGTCATTCAATCCATCAAAGTCATTTGGCCCATCTGCACTGGCTCTCAGAGCAAACTGCGCTTTCAATAGCATTGCCCTGCTCTATCCCCTCATTCTTAAGCCTCCAATTTTCATTTACCTTTCTAAATTGTAAGAACGGGTATCTATATAGGTATAAATTATACAATACTTGTACTTACAATAACAATTTATACTTAATAAAATATAAATGACTTATTTTTCTGTATTTTAAAGGATTCCAACATACCCACGAGCCTTTGGATAGAAGCACAGAGTGATTATAATTTTGTTATATGGTTTCAGAAGTCCTTGTTGTGGTAGACTGCTAATTAAAGTAGTTTCCTTAGGTGTCTTGAAATTATTTTGCTCAATCTCTCCAATTGCTGCATCTGATCTCAGGAATAAATCTGTACCCTAAATCAAATGCAAGTGGTTTAATTAAAAATTTGAAGAATATGCTTCTCAATAAAATTTGATACTGCATTAAAATGCTAGGTCATGCCATCATGCATCCATTTCACCATGTGAATATATTTCTATGGAGCAGGGATTTGCTATACCCTTAAATAACCTTTATTCCATATTGCTCTTGTATGTATATAAAAACACTCGAAAAAGAAACTCCATTGTTCTATTCAGTTTCTCTAAATCCTTTACAAGGTTTGACACTTGAACATGACAACATTTCCTGCTGGAATTATGAGGCCTGGTTAGTTCTGTGTGATCTTCCTGCATATACCTGAAGCCATTAAGCTCTCAATTGTTTTGTATTGTATTCTTGTTGTCCAATTCTCTTGTTCCCTTGAAAATAACTGATCCTTTGTGGAGGTTCTTAAGCCTTCCAGGTCATCAGTACTCCAAGGCACAGTTGATGACAGACCAGCCGTCAGCAGGACATGGTTGGACAAACCAATTACTGAGCAGAAATTCTTCCCACTCATCTCCTGCTAATCTTGCAGGTCGAGCCCTAATGGGTCAGGTGGTGGTAGCTGGCTACGCAGTGGAAAGCTTGCCAGACAATGTTCACTGAGGCAAACTCAGCAGGTTTAGCTAGTTGAACTCCATGAACACTCGAACATACATTCTGGGATCCCTCGTACCATCCTGTACCTAATACCTCCTGGAATTGGATAAACAGGGATAATCTCTTTGGCAAGAGAGTGCCCACTCCATTTCAAAGAGAAATTTCTTTGTTTAGGTGCCAGTATTTATGGAACTCTCAGACTGGTTTGTATACTCAAGCATGGTGGTGGGTTGTCATGTGTGACACATCCAAAAGACAAAAAAAAAGTTGGCTTATGAACAGAGACTGGCACAGATGTTCTATATCAATTTAACACTTTTTTAAGAATTGAAAGCACTGCAATATCATCATTCGCATAATGTGCTATATTCTCCAAATGTGTACGCTTTACAGGGAGCCCAGAACAGATCCCAGAATTTGCAATTAGGATTGATATTACTATTATTCAAATCCTAAAATAATTGTTGACAATTGATATTTCTGCAAAATGTCCCAAATTTGATTCAAAGAAGGAGTTCATACAAAATTAAAATAGAACATTACAAAGAAGAATTAAGATAATTACCACTTCAGATCCAACACCATCATCCTCCAGGACTGTCACCCATTTGATGGTTTCAGGACTGTTATTGTACAACACAGCTTGACGTTGCTTTGTGGTTCCATAGTAGGCATTACCAAACTGCAAACATTCCAGCTTCTGGCCAGAAAGGTCCACTATTTCTAGAATTTGCTCCACTATATTCACTTTAATTTTCAGAAACATGTCTTCACGACCTTCCAATCTCACCCTATCAGGAAAAGCAAGGGGGCAAAATAAATGAAAGGAATTGAGAATCAATAAATATTATTTTGAAAGTTCTGGTACCACTACACTCACCCCTCAATAAGTAAACACAGCCTCAATTATTATTGATTGTATTGCAATTATTAGATTAAATCATTTAAACTGCTAAAACAGTAATTACTGTGAAGTGCTTTAAAACGTTTTGACATTATAGGTGCTATAAAAATGCATGTTCTTGGTTTGTTTTCTTCCTATTCACTGAATGGCCTTACCTAATAATCTATTAACCTTTGTGTAAAGAATCAGTCTTGTTTCACCTCTTCATAACTTCCTATTATTAATTTATTTTCCCTAAAATTTAACTCCATCAAAATGATCAATTTGTTTAGATAATGAATATGCTGAACATAAAATGAAAATATAATTTTTTTTTCCTTCTAATTATACAGACTTACACGAAATCTTCATTGATGATCATAGGCTTGAGAGTAAACAATTCAATTCTGACAAATCTCAAAGCTTTAGGGTCTACTATTCCACTGCTGGGCACAATAGTCACTGGCAAATTGCCTTTTTCCACAATTTTAAACTGGCCTAGAGAAAAAATAATTAAGACATATAAATTTTCTTGTTGCATTTGTGTAAAAGAACAACTAAAAACATTTAACAATGGAGCAGTGGGCACTAAATAAGAATTGTGAAAATTTTAGAGATGACTAAAGGAAGCCACAATCAAAAAGCTAGCCTTTTAGAGAGAGTTACAACTGAAGTCTTATAATAATAATAATAATCCTTGCATTTGATATAGCACCTTATCACGTCTTCAAGACGTCCCCAAAGGCTTCACAGAATATACTGTAAAGTCTAGTGACTGTGTGTTTATGGAGAAACGCAGCAACCACACAGCTGTGTTCCACAAACAGTCATGGATTGAGTGACCAAATTATTTTTTTTTAAAAAGGGATTAGTACCACCGGAGAGCAATCCACCAGTCGACTAACAACCAGGTTCCTACTTATTGCTAGGTAAACAGAGGTGTGGAATAAGGAAACTTGCCTAAGGTTTCGCCCTCTCCCAGCCAGGAATCAAATCCAGGTCCTCTCGCTTGCGAGGTGAGTGCTCTAACCAGTACGTTACAGGATGTGTGTGCAAGCGTCAAACACTGAGCCACTGTGAGGAGCTATGAGGAGGGGGAGTGCTCAGTCTACAACACCCTAAACCCAGGGCTACAGTCTGCTCACCCTCACACACACACTCACAGTGTTTAATATGTGTCCCCCACACACATACAGTGTTTAATATGTGTCCCTCACATACACACTCAAATACAGTGTTCAATATGTGTCCCCCACACACAGTGTTTAATATGTGTCCCTCACATACACACTCAAATACAGTGTTCAATATGTGTCCCCCACACACACACTCAGTGTTTAATATGTGTCCCCCACACACAGTGTTTAATATGTGTCCCTCACATACACACTCAAACACAGTGTTTAATATGTGTCCCCACCACACACACTCACAGTGTTTAATATGTGACCCCCAAACACATACAGTGTTTAATATGTGTCCCCCACATACACACTCACACGCAGTGTTTAATATATGTCCCCCCCCCATACACACAGTGTTTAATGTCCCCCTCACGTCTCCCACACATTCACACACACAGCGTTTAACATGCCACCCCCCTCACATACACACACTCATCAGTGACCCTAACACATATAGACAAACGCAGCTCTCCCCCCTCACACACACACCACCGCTCCCCAAGGTAATGGGAAAGCAATGGGATGAGGATGGAGTCTGGGCTATCCTGCTCTTGGCTTCCAATTGAGGAATGGCGCATAAGTAACTGCAAGTTCTAAATAATTGTAGGCATATAAATACACACTTTAGCTAACAATTGTCAGGGTTGACCACATTAACTCATTCTATGAAGTGGTTTACAACATTTTAAAATGATAAATTACTATATTAGATGCAAGAATTATATTTACAAATTGCTGTTAAATAACTCTTACCTGCAACAGAACCATGATTCGTAATTCTTATTTTGTTATAAATGGTCTTGTTGTTGGCTACCACAGTGCCAAAATCAATTCCTGAATCAATATCAAGGTAACAAGCAGGAATAAAGCTGCACACAAAAAACACAAAAAAGGGTGCTTCAATTACAATTACAATATTAATGAGTGATTGATTTCAGCATAATTGAATTGAGCAATTTAGAATCTTAATTAAATCTACTCAGAGGCAAGTTATATTTTTGCCTGAATTAAGCAAATTACTGTTTAATACTTACGCAAGCAATGGGATTTCAACAACATCTTCATCTGCAGTTATAACAAATTGATCTTTTGCATCATGTTCTTCTTCATTAAAATATTCCACAATTGCTTTGATTTGCATTCCAGGAGCAATACGCTCTTCAGAATTCTTCACAAGAACTCTAAATGACTGTAAAGGTGAAATTAATTACCCAACTGCTATTGGAACCTTAAATGTAACTTCTTGAGAACAATAACAATAACAACTTTATATAGCAGCCCTCACGTAGGGTAGCACCCCAGAGCACTTAACCAATCATACACCTTGCAAAACTTGCCAGGAATGTAAGCTGCTATCGCCATTTATTATTTTGATGGATTTCTGCATGTTAAATACCCAACTAACCGAAAGAAACTAGATCAGGATTTCACGATACAGGTTCACATCAAGACCCACATAATACAGTATACCTACTCCCAAACTTTTTAGCAATTCTAAAGCATAAAATGTGTTAATAAGGGATGATCAAAGATGGATATGTGTCCATAATTTAGGATTATGATAAAATTCAATAGAAATCACTTTCCCCATTAAATATTTGATATAAATTGACAATCAAATGACTTTCAAAATAGCTGTACCTAACAGTGAATTGTTTTTTTAAAAGCTAATCACAAGTCATTTCAATACCAAAAAACATAGTAGCTGCCTTATCTGCTAGAGGACTGATCACTTTAATTATTGATGTCTACATAGCTTTCATTAAAATGCTGATAAGACTTTGTTTTTGTCATATTTTTGGGATAGCTGCCAATAAGATTTTTTTTAATTACTTGGATGTTCAGAAGAAACAATTTACATTTATTTAACTGTCTGCGAGGGGAAGGCAAAATAAATGATACAAGAAGGATAGTCAGAAGGCGAACAAGACTGTGTTTCCACACCAGCTCTGTGTGGTGGATGGAGTAAGTTGGAAAACCAATGAATAAAGCAAAGTGCATTTATGAATTTACCTGGACTAGACTTGATTTATCCAATGCCCTGCCAACAAGTCTCCCCAGCTCCACCCACTACAAACTCCGGACCATACAAAACTTCACAGCCATATCCTCTCCGCAACATGACTCCTTTGGTCTATATTCTAGAAGAACAACTCGCCTCTTCAACTCCCCGCAGCACATATAAAAAAAATTTTGGTCTGCCATTTTTTTCCAGACTGACAATCGGAAACCCACCACCATGGTAAAGGATATCCAAACCAAGCTGAGATTTCCACGCATCTCATCTGCACATGGAAATCCCAGAGATAAAGTGTTGGAATGGAAAGCGCACTCTTTCCTTGAAGGGACACATCCTGCTTACCTAATCCCAGAAAGTATCGGGCACAGGTTGGCAATACCTAAGGCTTGGGAACCCCAAGAATGTGCGCTGGGGTGCAGCTGGAATCTAACCGGCTTGCAATTGATCTTGCTGTCTGGCAAGCTTTCCCACTGCTTCCCCAGCGAGGACCACCCTTCCTTCCCCTCAGGGCTTTGACTTGCACGGTTAACAGGAGCTGAGTTGGGGGATTTCCTCCCACCCCCAGTGACTGGTCTGTCCTTCCAGGAGCTGCCCATGAGCCAGGCTCTGGCTGTGCTGTCATCAGCAGCGCCCTGGGGTCCTGCAGACCCGCTGGGGGGGGGCTCAGTGGGGGGGGAAGAGAGAATCTCACCTGAAGCTTTGGTTGGTAGAAATGTATGTTTCTGGAGTTCCGGCTGATATTTGTCAGAGTCAGGGCGATGCGGTACGTCTCGCCCGGTTTCGTGTCTGTAAATTTCACCTCGAAACGCGAAAGCCGCAGACCTGCCACGTCCAGGTGCATGGCGAGCGGGGGCTGCGGCCGTGCGGCTCCGGACCCACAACACGCCGTCTCCGTGGTAACCGCACTGTTGCCAGGCAACGGCCCGACTCAAACTGCCGCGCCGCACATTCGTCAAAAGTTAAAACACGAATAAACGCACGGAGGGCCTGCCGGAGCAATAATCAGAGTAATACTCACAAAGTTCCCAGGGAGTTGGAGTGATCAATGAGAAGTGTTTTCAGCTTTGTACATACTGTATATCGATTTTTTTTAGAAAGCAGCGAATGTGCCACCGCTGGAATTACTGAGCCTGACGGGGGGAATGGCAGAGAGAGGTGTCATCCAACATGTGGAACAGCTGCTACATGTGGGGCATTGAGCTCCATGTCTGCGGTGATGGCACCAGGGGGGAGCCTGGCAATATTGAAGAGGAGGAGACCAAGGGCAGAGCCCTGAGGGACGCCCCACGTAACGGTGCGGAGGGGCTGGAGGAGAATCCATCATGGACACAAAGTGGAGACGATGGGAAAGGTAAGATTTGCACCAGGCGAGGGCAGGACCGTAAAGAATTGAGCTGAGACGAGAGGTGATGGAAAAGGGTAGAACGGTCGACAGTTTCAAAGGGGAGATCAAGGAGGACGAGGAGACAGAGGCAGGGCGGCAACATGTTGGTTGTGACTTTGACCAAGGTTGTTTCTGTTCAGTGGAGTTCACGGAAGAGAGAATGGACAAGGCATGAGAAGGTGGACGGAGGAGCTGGTTGATGGTGGAGAAAAGGAGCCTGGGGTTGCCCTTGGTCTTCAATATTATCTTGGAGTAGAAGGACGATTTCTGGGAGGCGAGGACGGAGTAGTAGGTTTTGACGTGGTCCAGACGGGTCTGCCAATGAACCGCTGGTTGGATTTGAGCCAGGTGCCTTGAGGGAGCAGAGGTGGTGGTGTTGCAGGGGGACTTGTGAGAGAAGGAAGCGGTTCAGGAGGTGAGGGGGCAAGCGCATCAAGGATGACGGCAAGGGATTTGTGAAGCAGAGTGACCAAGGCGGGTATGTCATTGCGGGAGGTGGCTCAGAGAAGCAGGAGTTTAGATAATTCCAGAGCAACAGAGAGGGAGGGGAGAGAGATTTTTTTCCAGGTAGGAGATAGAGGTGGGTTGGATAGCACAGAGGCTATAGAAGAGTTAAGCGAGATGAAGTACTTATCCGAGATGGCCTGGCCTGTGAGTCCATGCCAGTGTTTATACTATACATGAACCCCCATCCATCCTATTCTCCACCTATTCCATTCAATTCCTTTCCTCCCCATGTGTGCATAGAATGATGAAGCAAATTGATTTGGTTATAGTATTCACAAGATCTTACTTTCATTGCCATTAGATGAAAAGATGAAAACAATAATTTTACGTAAAATATGACAATGGTCCAAAATTCTTCAAAACCTTGTCCAAGGCTTTCAAACTTTGGGACCAGCTAGATAGACACCAATGCTGTTTTATGGCCTCCACATTTCTGTTAGTTGGGTAGGTGAATTTGATTACACACGCTTGAAAAAACGTCCTAAGTTTAACTAAAAATACATTCACTGTCACGTATGATGTCAGCACAATTAGTTTGGGCTTTTTGCGATTGTATTCTAACACTCCTCCCTGGTTCCCATTCTTCAAAGGTGTATTTTTCTTCTGGAAAATATAACAATTCATGTATATGGTAAATCCAAACTTATGAAATTGTTTCATTTACTCCAATGAATTGCATTCTGCCCACAAAATACACAGTCAATTCACTTTATAGTATATTCTGTGAAGCTCTTTGAGACGTCTCAACAACGTGATAAGGCACTAGTTCAAATCCATGAAATTATTTTCATTGCCTTTACCCATTCAGTCATTGACAGAGCTATTCTACCCCTTTAAATAATCGCCTTGGGTTTTAAGTTATAATTATGCTCCCTTTAACTCGGCAGCTCGTGTCCTCTCCTGCACCAGGCTCCGTGACCATATCACCCCATCCTCGCCTAACTCCACTGGCTTCCCATCACTCAGAGAATGCAGTTCAGGATCTTGGTCTCATCTTCAAAGCCCTTCATGGTCTTGCTCCCCCCTACCTCTGCAACCTCCTAACTCCCTATCAACCTGCCTGCTCCTCCACTCAGCGGGCTCTGGCCTGCTTCACGTTTCCCGCCTCGCCCGCCCCACCCGTGGCGGACAGGCCTTCAGCCACTCTGCCCCCATCCTCTGGAACTCCATCCCTCAGTCCCTCTGCCTCGCCCCCTCCCTCGCCTTCTTCAAGACCTGTCGCAAGACCCTCCTCTTCGACTGTGCCTGCGATCACCCTGCTTCCCCCCCTTGCCCTCCACCCTCCCCGATCCCGACCCTCAGCTCGGGTCCGAAACACCGATCGTCCAGCGCCTTGGGACGTCCTCCCGACCTGAAAGGCGCTTTGCAAATGTGACTTTGTCGTTGTCGCTGTTGATGTGGGTTTTGAATTTATAGTAATGTTATACGATGTCCTTCAAATAGCAGAAGTGTCAGTGACAGCGGTAGACAGTGCCGCCCCCCCCCCCCGACCGACCCCCCTTTAAATAGTAGCCACGGGTGGGTGACTGGCAATGTTGCTTTAAATAGCAGCCATGGGGGTGGAGTGACGGACGGCTTCAGCCCTTTAAGAGAGGATCGTCCGCGAGCCGAGCCCCGCGCGCGGGGTGAGCAGTGCGCGTGTGCAGCCGAAGCGCTTCCGCCTAACGTACATGGAGCCGATCCCGAGTGCCTTCGGTTTGGGAGGTGTCCTGGAGCTGGTCCTGGAGCCGCCGCGGTGAGCTCTGCTGGTGCAGCACGCGAGGCACATTCGCAACAAACTTACAAGGTTACACTGCAAGTTTTTTTTAGTTCTTAAGTGATTTTTTTTTGTTTTGAAATAAAAGCTGAATTCGGATTATCCGATCCCTTCATACAGAGGAATGTTTGACTCCATTGCTTCCTCACCATCTTGAGGCGGGTTCCCTTTGCTGGACGTTATGTGAGAGGACGGCGTGTTAGTCGCGGTCAGTCGGCTTTTTGTCGTTAAAATAATTTGTGCTGAGCGCTGTGATCAGGATTTAGCAAATGGGGGAACCGTGAGAACTACATTTAGTAAATAAATAACACGTTGGTGATTACTCTTTAAATGTTGCTCCCCCTTAAACGTGTGGTTAGGGGGTGACCACATCTGTAACTTATTTGAGAGTATTTTTTTTCTCAAGTTCAGCAAGTTACGTTTTGAATAGTTTGTAATTGTTTAATCTTCCTAAACTCTTCATTGGCGCTAATTTGTAATCCCCCGAGTACAGGACATTGCTTAAGTTACCATTCTTCATGTGTGAACTAGACTACAGGTGGTCTCGGTGAACTAAATTCTGTCTACTCTCAGTAAAATCAGTCAACCATTATTCCTGCCAGGGAAGTCCATGCCTGATCTGTTGTCTCCTGTTTTTCCTCTGTGATAGACATTTTCAGCACAGTTCAGCGATTTAAATAGCCCCGGTACCATATAGTTTTGTATAGATTTAAAGTCTTGCTCTCACCAAAACTGATTCACCAACTGTATTTATTTTGTTTTAAAAAAAGTAATAGCATTTTCAAATTACCTGTGATGTTATAATAAAGCATTTGTCTCGTGCCTTTCACTTAATAGGATGCTCAAATAATTTGTTTTGGGCCCGTCAATTGGGTGGTATTGAATTTTTATGTGCAACTGATTTTTCATGAGGCAAAAAGTATATTTTTAAGCTAAGAAGGTGGATGTACTGGATAGAATAATTGTTTTGAAAGTTAAATGTAAGATAAAGGGAACATAATAAAAGAAAATAATAATCTATTATCTTGTACCATTCTGTATGTGAAATGTAGCAGGTCCAAAGAAAAATAAATACTTTTGTTGGATTCAATATATGCCAGCTTTTATATTGTTTAATTTTGTGTAAGTAAATAATGCATTTCTTAATCCATTTTATTATCTGAGTCCTTATATTCACAAATGGTAGCCAACACCCACAACTGTGTTTGTAAAGAGAAAGCAAAATAATTCTGATGTCTCAATAGTTTCTAATATTTAAATTAATAATTTGCCTACCTTAGAAAATAATTGCATTGGCTAGTCCTTACTCATTTGAAGAGAACTTCAACTTTTGTTAACCAAAATATATAATGGTGCTCATGTACTTTTTTTTCCTGATTACAGTTTGTTTTCGTAACATTCTTGCTTCAGAGTTGCAAATATGATGCAGAGTGGTAAGTTTTTTCATAAAACACACAATATTGCTTTATCAGAGGTGTTCGAGTAGTTATTTGATCTTTTTCTTTCTAAAATTGCGCACTGAATTAACAGTGTCAATCCTTTAGTTTCATATGGCAAATAATTTTTCCTTTGGTTTAAGTGTCTACATTGGGGACCGTATTACTAAATTAACATGGCTATGTGTTCACTTACAAAATATGCAATCATTAAACTTTAATGTATCCCGTGAAGTGCTTTGAAAGATGCTATATCAAATGCAAGAATTATGTTCCCATTTAAGAATTGATACAACGCGATGTTACAACAAAGACAAGACCGAACTGTTTACATTTATATAATGTGTTTCACGTTGGGAAGATGTTTCAGAACACTTGACATAAAACATATTTATTTAGTGTCCTTCATAGAGGATAGTGTCTAAGTCATGTTTTCCTTAAACCTACCCTTTAAAACTGAGCATTTGTTCTATTGTCTTGATACCTGGGTATTGTTTACTTCCTCTGTCCTATTATCTTATACAATCTACATATAAACAAATGTCTTATCTTTTCTGAGCTGTCTTTTTAAACCTGTAATCTATTCAGCTCACCTGTCTCAATACCCCACAGTACAACTATTTGTATTTTGTGCCCTTTTTACAGGATAATGTCTCATTGACCAGTATTCATTATCTACAGGATAATGTCTCATGACCAGTATTTACAAAGTAGACACTATATCACTAGTGTCTACTTTCAATTGCCATCCTTCCTCTTCTGTTAACATCTGTGTTTTCTAACCTTTCCAGGTTCCTTACTGGTTTTGGTTTTAGTCTGCTGCCTTATAACAGTAGTTCACTTCCTCTCCTACCACAGTAGCTTAATTTTGGTATACCAAAAATTCAAACCTGTGCACTGCAATGTGGCAGTTGTTCCAAAAAATACACCATTTATTTTGAGCAATGTGTATGGACCTGAATCTGTTGGGTGGTATTATTTAATGCCAACTAACTCAAAGGAATTAATTTAGATCAGAGGTAGGAGAAGTAAGCAGGGTCTCCTTGGAGTTGAGCTGGCTCCAAGGTGACATGACTAGTAACAGAATTGAGCCAGCCCTCTGGAGCGTGTCTCGGTAGTCCGATTCCTGAGCCAGGCGGGTCTGCAGTATTCCAGGGCACTGCTGATGATCCCACACAGCTCCTGTTAACCCTGCAAGTCAAAACCCTAACAGGTAGGTAGGGTGGTCCTAGTTGAACAAGCAGCAAGAAAGCATCTATCTCTGGAATTTCCACATGTAGGTGGGATAAAGTTAGGCTTGGATACTCTTCAGCATGGTGATGGGTTTCAGCATATGTCAAACACCTGGCTAAACCCCCCACCCCCATTTTTTTGAGAATTCAAAACTGAATGCATCGTCTATTCCAGGGTGTTAAAGCATTGAATAATTTAAGATGTTGTGCACCCCACTCCCATGCAATAATGTTCTTGGCAATTTCACAAACTGATAATGTTTTCTCCTCTCTGGCAGTTTTTTTGATGCAAAGTGAGGCAAATGCTATTCTAAAAAGATACCGGAGAGCAAATAATTTTTTCGAAGAAGTGAAACAGGGCAACATAGAACGTGAATGTCGAGAAGAAGTTTGTACTTATGAAGAAGCAAGAGAAGCTTTTGAAAATGATGAGGCAACCGTAAGTTAAATCTGAGAGGCTAGGTTGCATGGTAGTTTTATGTACTGTCATTTGGCAGCTTGGAGGTTGTTTAAATGGAATCGCAGGATTGATGGAATTAAAATCTCTGACTGGATGAAGGTTTCTTCTACCTGATAGAAGTAACAGACCCAAGGTTTGATCAGTATTAAGTGGATTTCTAGTGTAGGGGTTCTAAACTAGTTTCTGCTGTCAACAGCAACAACTTGTATTTCTACAATGCCTACTGCATAAGTTAATGTCTCAAAGCAGTTTATAGAGCCAATGTTGAACTTTGTACAAGAATGGTGGGGAAGAAGAGAGGTGTTCATAGACATTGTTAAAGAGAAAGGTTTTCAGAAAGATTTTAAAGACTTGAGAAGGGGGGCAAGGCAATGGAATTTGGGAATATTATTTCCAGAGTGTAAGCATATAGTGTTTAAAAGCTATATGGACATGAAATGAGTGAGTGATTGTTGGCCAGAACACCAGGAGAAACCCTTCTTTGACTTCTTCTTTCACCTTGTTCGTCTCATCCTCTGGTGGTGGAAATACTGCCCTATTCTGCATTTCTTCCCCTTTTTTTGTTTTTGCTCCCTCTGCCACAGGATAACACGTTTCTTTCCTTCCCCCATTTATACTTTGTTTTTCACCTAATCTCTTTCGCTCCCTCCCCTGCCCAGCCTATCTTTCTTCATTCCTCCCTCATCACATTAAAAATTAATAGCAGGCCAAACCCTTGGAAGTTGGGCTAATATAAAGGAGTTTCTCCTCTTGCTTTTTAAAACGCTCAATCTTTCATTGTTTGATTAAGTATAAGGCGGTTAAATTGTGCACATGAAACCAAGCTAGGGAACTGTGGAATCTGGAGGAAGCAGCCTAGATCTTGCAAAAAAAAAACTCACCCAACCGGATACATGCTTGGGATGATCACTGAAGAAAAATCTTCAGTGCAGATAAGTGCGAAGTACTGAATGCACAAAGTAAAACTGTGAGACCAATGTAATAGATGAATGGGATAGAATCTACCAAGCGGCAAAATGAAAGATCTAGGGGTGTTAGTTGAATTATTGCTCACGATGTCCAAATAGTGTGAGACAGCTGGAACCTTGGCGTTTGGGAACCTGTGCTGTATTGGAAAATCTATTTTAATTAGATCACCAGAAAACGTACTCAAACTCTATAGTGCTCAATTCGACTGAACCTCTTATGACCAGGTGTTCATCCAACAGTTAATTCAAATGTTAAAGTAAAGCATGTGAACATGTATATGTATTGAACGAAATGCAAAATACTGCAGATGCTGGAAATCTGAAACAAAAACAGAAGTGGCTGGGAACACTCAGCAGCTCAGGCAGCATCTATGGAGATCAGAAAGTGAGTCAACGTTTCGGTTCCACGACCCTCCGTCAGAACTGGGGCATGTTGGGAGGGAGAGGCTTTTAAGGACTAACAGGGGAGGCAAGGAAGACAAAGGAGAAAATGGGGTAGAGGATGGGATGAAGGGTTAAAGAGCCGTTAATGATGTAAAACAAAACACCCCTCCCTTTGCAAATAGCTAAGAGATGAATAATTAATCTCATTGATTGATAGTTAGGATACTGGGAACAGACCCTTCCCCTTTTTACTAGTATTGTGGGATCTTTAATGTGTCATCCAAAATGTGGGGCCTCCCAAAATACAGAACACCCAATTGGCACTGGAGTGTTGGCCTAGAGTGAATTCAAGTAGAATCTGATATCTGCATTACTTGGGACAAGCTTTATGTTATAAAGGCGATGTTAGACTATCACACAATGTATTGTACTAACCAAAACCGTCTTTCATCAGGAGTTATATTGTCACTATGATAGCACATTGAACCAGCTTTTATTAGTCACTTTTTCTTTTGTTTTGCCCCCTCAACCCCCTCCCTCACTATTGTCTGTCCATATTTCATTGCATTTAAAAAAATATTCTGGGCATTAAACAAGTAGTTGTAAATGTTGCAAATGATTATTATTTGTTTCATTTTCAGAATGCATTCTGGAAAGATTACATGAAGGGACCAGATGACTATCAAGGAAGTGGCTCTGATGTTAATGTGGATTCAGTGTACATTATAGTTCCTCTCCTGACTGGGCTTCTCATGATTATTGTTATACTTTTTGTTATCTGGAGATGCCAACTTAGAAAAGCTACACTCAGGCAGAGTGTTACCCAGACTAGGTGTCAAGCAAACCAGACCAGCAGAAATGTATCTGTAGTTGTGTTTGGTTACAATGAGCAGCATGTTGGTCCGTTTGACCCATTACATACACAGCTACTAGATGGTCTGACTGCTGATTATTCCAGTGGAAATTGTCTAGCTTCTGGCATGGTAATTCATGGTCCTCTTTGTTCATCTGGATTGTCCAATTCAGGTTTACCGCCATCCTATGATGAGGCCACTGGACAGGTGGGAAATGTAAGAAATGATTGTGCAAACCATCATGGAGAGAATCCTCCGAAGTACGAGGAAATTGTGAACCCAAATGTAGCCAAAAATGTGGTATCAGAAGTTGAGAGAAATGTGAGATAAACAAATCTTTAATATTGCATTGATTAAGCAGTGTTGTGTTTAATTTGACATTTTATCATTGTTGCAAGTGAACTAATTTTTTTGATTGTAATTTCAACTAAGTAGTAATTTAGTATGGACAGTATTAGTTTTTAAACTGACCCACTAACTGACTTCATACATATGTCAAGCTTTTTTCGCTTCCTCCTCCACGTAAGATTCTGGAGAAATATAAATACTGATTATTAGCAAAGTGTAGAATATAGTCTATTCATTGGTTTAAAGTGTACTTCAACCAAAACTGAAATACCCTGGGATATGACAGATATTACCACTATCCTGGGGCCTTTTTTGGTTTAATGAAGCTTGAACTTTTGAGTTGGAATTCTTGAATAATTATTACCACTATGTGTACTTTAAAGCAAGAATGCAATTTGTGTTTTAAGCTGCAAGGGGATGGGGGGAGGGAAAGAATGAAACACTGGTTACGACATGCACTGCATCTAACCTACAGCTAGTCTCTCCTTGTTGAGGCCAAGAAGGTTAACATTGTGGTGAATTAATTGGCCCCAAGTGTACAAACATTGCATGATTCAATTTCACAATAAGCCCATGATGAATACAAATGTTGATTAACCAAACATATACTTTATTAAAACTTTTCTATTGTGCACATTTGGATAAGCCAAAATTAAGGTGTAATCTTGGAAGGAGGTCAAAAACTTGTAATTACATTTTGAATAGTTATTTTCTGTTTCAATTTCCTTATTTGTACATTTTTTATGATAAAGATTTAATCAAATCTTTATAGTCGGCGTCGACCTATTTCACAAACTTGTATCTATAAATTACCTTTTTATAAAAAACATAATTTTATTTTGACCATTCCAGTATTAAAAAGTACAGTCAATTCACTTTACAGTATATTTTGTGAAGCGCTTTGAGACGTGATAAGGCGCTATGTCAAATTCAAGGATTGTTGTTATTATTAGAAAGAGATGAAATTTTATCTGCATGTTTCCACTATTGGGATGAAATTGTTTGAGCACAGAGTCTGCTTGATTTGTCATGGGGACGTTTTTATTCCAACTTGCAACCAACAAAGACACCTGGTCCAAACTCTTGCAGTGTTTAGACGAGAGATCTATTAGATAGATCAAAGAGTTTATTAAAGGGTTGTGCTAGAAAAATTCTAGTGTACTAATCTAGAGTGATCAGTATTAAAGATTGTCATACGGGTTTTCTTTTAAGACAACATCTCTTCATAAACCTTAATGTGGGTGCCTGCTCTAGACTGACCTGAGAGCCAATACCAGCCTCAAGAAAAGAAAATACAGGCTGTGTCTTACTGCATAATCTGCACTCTTTTGTAACTGGATGAGCCCAGGTCATTAGAAGTGCTTTATGTACCTTTATTGACCTGTTATGTGAAATGTTGTATTGTGTAGCAGGAAAGATTCAACACTTGTCTAATTAATGTGTTCAATATGAATATGGGCATACATATATTTTGTTTCAGTATTTACAGAAGGAATATTTTGCAATGTACTTGCTATTCAAAATAAGTATTAATTACATTTTTCCTCCAGTATTAGATTGTTAGACAGGTTTCTTCCTTTAAGACAGCATCTCTTCATGAACTTTAATGTGGGTGCCTGCTTTGGACTGGCCTGAGAGCCAATACCAGCTTTTGAAAAGAAAATACTGCCTGTATATCACTGCATACTCTCCTCATGTGACATGAGCCCCTGTTGAAAGTATTTCACTTGAGGAGACACAATTCTGAACTGTAAAAATGTCAGTAAAACAGCTAAACTGTTGACGCAGAAGATTCTGGTAACATGAGAATATTCTGTTAAACATTTTTTTATATAGCATCTTTTAATAGAGCCAGTGAGAATATTGCTAATGGAAAAATACTCAGCCATTCCTTATTTACTAAAACATTAAATATAATTACATAAAATGCAAGATATAAACACTTAGACAATTAAAAATGTGAAGAATAGTGGGATCACTGAGAAACTGATTGGAGCAAATCCTAGGTAATCTTAACAATCGTGGTATGCAGCATAAACTTATTTTGAGTCCATGAGAATGAAGTTTCTAACTTTGTATATCAGGATTTTTGAATTAAAACAATAATTTTATTATGTAACTGGTGATTTACACAGGTGTGCTGATATGTTCCTGTCTCACTTTTCAATATGATTCAGAGTAAAATCTTGTGATGTGAAAATGTTCTACTGCCTTCTGCTGATATAAACATTTTGATTTGATATGCTGCAGCAAGAAATTCTGAACGATTACTCATGTAGGCTCACATACTCCAAATTTGTTTTCCATCTGAAGTTTTGTATTAAGGGAGAAACCTTTTTGAACTTGAGCTAACTTTGCATAAACAGCCCTAAAACAATTTCTTGTCTGAGTAACAAACATCTAGCTTGGAGGAATTTGCCAAATGGAACAGTACTGTGGTTTAACTTCATGGTACATTTTGTTCCATGAAAAAAATTATATTGGTATGGAGGCAGCCAATTATGAGCAGTAATGTGTGCTCTAGACACAACAAAACTGATTTTGAGATTCATTTTAGAAACATACATGATCTAAGAATTTAAGATTGAGGAAAGTATGAGATAAAATACAGCTGAGTTTTAAGTCTGTGTTAAATTTATGAGCGTGATTGTGTATGGTGTCTATAGAAAAGTACATTGGTATAACAGAAATGCAGATACCTAACTAGCGTAAGTTGCATTACTATAAAAATAGTGTGTTGTTTTTATTTTAATTGGTCACATAACAACTTAGAAAGAATTATGTGTTGGGGGAAGGGTTAAAAAAATTGGAATTGTGCCAGCATGATTTCATCTTCGCTGAGTTGTTGCATTCACAACTATTCTTTTATGCATACTAAGATCTTCCTTTGTGACTCCTGCAATTAACCATTGTTTAAAATAGTTTGGAACATTTCCATAATTGTCTAACTGGCTCAAATTGTGTGTAGTGACACTGACCCTTTGACAAACTAATGTTCTTTCTGTATTGTATGTATTGTGTTTCAAATGTTCAGCTGAGAATTTACTAAACCTGTGATTTGTTCACCATTGACCACCATTCCATCACTTTAGGGGAAGCCAGGGCAAAATCTGCTGTCAATGATGCATTCTTGGTTTATTGCACAGGGACATTTTCAAATGTGATGCTTACTAATTGAAAGAACTTGTAAAATATGAAGAAAATGCTTGATCAAAACAGTTGAGTGCCTTAATTTTATAGAGAATAATTCAATCTTTGTACCCATTTGAAGAACGTACAGTATTTTAGAAGATCTGTTTTGTTATGCTAATATGCAATAAGTAAGAAATAAAAGTAATTTAAAAACAAGTCATTTGTGTGTATTTGTAATTATTTAACAATGTCAGGAATTTATAAGCAGAAACAATATACTGTGATGAAATACAATACAAAATGACATTTGTAAAGTGCCTTTTGTGTCAGGAGGATGTCCCAAGGCACTGAACAGTCAGATTAGGATCCAAGTGGGGGTTGGGATCAGGGAGGGTGGAGAGCAAAGGGTGGCTGAAGGCACAATTGAAGAGGAAGCTCTTGAGGCATGCCCTGAAGGAAGCAAGGGAATGTGGGATAAATAGCCTTAACTCCATTTAAATAATTCCTCTAGACTGGTTAAATTTTGGGTTTATGTAAATTGTTTTTTTTTAAGCAGTGCAGTAGAGAACTTTTAAAAGCCAAAATAACATAATGCTCTGTGCCCTTTGTCAGAGAAGTGCAATAAATAAATGACAGGCCCATGAGTATGCAAATAATTTGTTGAAAACAGCTGATTGTAGTACACAGATGAGAAATGAGTTATCATAGAATTATACAACACAGAAGGAGGCCATTTGGCCCATCGTGTCTGTGCTGGCTCTTTGAAAAGAGCTATCCAATTCAATCCCACTCACCAGTGCTCTCCCCATAGCCCTGCAAACTTGTCCTCCCTAAATTTAAAAAGATCATAAAGTTTCAGCCTTGAATCCTGGTCTCTGCTAAATTGATCTTAAATGGGGCAACAGTTGAACTGTTACAATGAGTTTCAGCACACAGTTGGTCTCTACAGAGGTAAACAATATCTTACACTGAAAACCACCCTCCACCTGTGTCAGGTGAGGATGGTTTGGGGCTCGACTAAGTCTTTCTAAAAGGTAAACTTAAAATTTTTTTAAAAAAATATTTCAATTCCACTTCTGACATGATTTACAATCTGCAATTAAAGTTACTGCAATGGATATGTTGTCCATTAAGGAATCTCAAACAATACCATATTAGGCAATACAATCAAAATATGGTGACGTGACTCATGATGGCAACTCCTTAATTGACTGGATATCTTGGAAATGCTTTGAGACATTTCAACAAAGCGATGAGGCACTGCATTGTGCAAGTATTTTTCAATTCAGTTCTTTAATCTCATGCGAGTTTCGGTTTCATTGTTAGACAGAGGTGTGTCATTTTCAAATGGAAATCCACAGACATTTCACAATTCCAGCTCTGGTTTATGTCCTGGAAAATTGCTGAACTAAACAGGCATTTTACTTAATTTTACTTTTGTTTGTATTTCTTTAGAATTTGTCAGATCACAGTCCTTATAATAATAATAATAATCCTTGCATTTGATATAGCGCTTTTCACGTTGGGAGGACGTCCCAAAGCGCTTCACAGAACATACTGTAAAGTGAACAGACTATTTGAAGTTGTTTTGTGTGTTGCTGTAAATTTAGTGAGCATGACAATTACGTGTTTGTTTGCTTTGTTCCTCCCATTTAATCCTTATATTGTGTACTTGGACAATTAAAGTTTGAGAACAGTTCTGTTGAAATGTTTTTTAAAAATATGTTTTTAGCTATTTTAGAGGCAAGGTGGATTTAATTATGTTGTATTACAAGCTAATAGGTATAGATTTGACTTTCAATTCATAACACAGTTGCAATATAACCCTTGCCACTCCTTAATAAGGGTTAAGACATGAGTGCCTCATTT